CTCCTAGCTTTCCAGTTATTTCTTGTCATATTCTGACTCGGACCAAAACACCAGCGGAAATTACATCTAAGAAAAATACTGAAATTACATTGTTACAGATTGAGGCTTCCAATCTAACAGGAAGATATACATCAGGTCTATAAGGTTTATGAGCATCTCTTGAATCTGCAGCATTTGGTCTCCACAGAGGTCCATGATCTCTAGTGTGCACTATGAAACACATCATCTCCACTGAGGTAACCTGGGGTTCTACAGCAGGTAGGGGAAAGTAGTTTGTTTCAACACAACAGTCTAATTATTTTTTAATCTATAACTTTTTGGTTTGGTTTATTTTTAAGATTTGTGCAGTTCTCAAAAAGCTGCAGATCTAAAATAAAAAAATCACAGTCTCAGTGCTCTGGATTCTTCTCTTAGGTGGCCATCAAAGCCCTCAGCATTTTACATACAAGGTATTTCTCTGAAAAGCCTCTGCAGGAAGCAGATACAAATATGGCAACTGTTTAATAAAGTATCTCAGCTGATCTTGGGTGCTGAGTTAGAATACGTGGAAAGCCACTGAAATCTAAGACATAATAGGCCAGAAACCAGCATCGTTTTGTCTACATCCAGAAACAAAAATCCAATGCACTCCATAAGGCACAGACACAGATGTGCTCATCATGAGTTTACTGTAAACAGATAGTTATTTCTTCCAAAGTAGTGCATTCAGGGTATGGCTGCATAACCATCCTTCATAGCAGATGAAGTTACATCCCTTAGGGAAAGCTACACTAGACCTGGGAACCACTGGACAAGGAATTCCACAATCAGTAGCTCAGGAATGTAAATATAGACAAGTTAAAAGCAAAGCCAAAATCACTAGACAAAAGTTTCATATTCTTTCCCGGACAACCTTCACTTTCTTCTTCAGCTACTACAAGACGTTTACTTCCACATTTATATCTATCAAATGACTCTAAAAATGTTTTAGAAAATACTACAGCCCGTATAAAATTCTGGTACTTGTTTTTGTTTTTCTTGTTTAGATAACTTGGTTTAGCAAAGGCTTCTGAGCCCAGTAAGTTGCAGTAACAAGAAACCCGGATAGCTCAGAATTTGTTTTTTGTTGGCTTTTTGCAAAAGATCTTTCTTCTCCTGCTGCTATGTTTGCAAACATATTAGGAAAAACTCTTTCTGCTTAATGTCAATAGGCCAATGTTACTTCTTTTCTAAGAAACACATCTTCAAGAAATTATTCTCCTTAGAAGTTGATTGTTTCCCTTTGGAATATGCCTTTTCTCCTCACTTCTCAGGTGACAATATTTCTTAAAATATTTCATCTGAAAAATTATTTGTTACAATTGCTCTGGAAAACAGAATAATTCCAAACTATGTAATATGTTATTTGTAATAATTACTCTTCATATTTTACCTCCAACAGATCCCAATATACATGGAACTTTTGCTGAGTAATGATGGCACAATTCAGCCTCTAATGCCTCCTGCAATTTGAAAACCTCTTCCCCTGATTTTACTTGCCACTTTGAAATGTTATCCCTTTCTGGTGAGTAATCCTGTGCTAGATTCTTTTGCTTCTTAAACGAACATTATTCTCACCCTTTATTGACTGACCACATCTATTATCACATGTAAGCAGTGTTAATCCTCTAGTAATTAACACCCCTATTAAAGTAATTTTAACTCAAAGAAGTTTAAATCGCATTATTGGTTTTATTTAATTAAGCTACGGGGACTGTTTTACACTGTCGTTTGAGTTTTCAGCTTGTGCCTTTTCAATCTACCAGTTACACAGGTTCCCCCTGCCCCCCTAGTTACCTGTGTATTTGTGTCTAGGAATTATTCAATATTATTCTCTTTCACAGTGAACTTTTTAAACTATCCTCTATGTCAATGGATGCAAGACCTAGACACTATACTGAACATATTACCATTCCCAAACTATAATTCGGGTGTGCATTTCAATGATATTATCAAATCTATCCTTCCACAGGGTTCAATACCTTGTCAGTGCTTAAAATGAAAGACCCACTTCTAGTGTCCTTCTCATACATCCTAAGCAAGGGCAAAGATTTTTATTTAAACTTTAGACTGGCAAAAAGAAAGGAGAATCTGAATGCACTGAGTTGTGCCACATACAAAGGCTGGCTCAGCACTTCTTCTGTTACTTCAAAAATAAGTCAGGTTTTAAAATTGCATTTTTTTGTGTCTACTGCATGGTCCTTTCTGTGGGAAAATATCTGAGGGCCTATGTTCTCTTACAGATCTCAGGTAAGCTACTCAACTGACATGTTTGACACCGGGTCAAAAGATGAAAACTGTCTTCTGATTTAACTGCATCATGTTACACCGTGCACTCTGGAAGAGTGTGGGCTAATTGTGTGTCCTCCTGGAACGATTTCCTGGAGGCACGCCACTGAAACCGGGAAAGCTTGCGTTCTCCTGGGAATAAGGCAACCTGATGGTTTCATGGACTTTATACACCATTAACTGTGTACTGAAAGTCCTTTCTTTCCTTTGGGTAAAAACATCTCTTCGAATTTCTACTGTTTAAAAAAGAAATGTTCTTAATGGGTCTCAGCATAAACCATGGAAAATGATAAACATCGAAAGAAAAGGATAAGAACAATAATGTACATTTCTAGACAGGAACTGACTTTTTCTTTTTTTTTGTCCTTCATCCCATATCTTTAAGTTCTTCTTTTCTCCCCATCATCTACTGCTTCCATCTACTCATCTTTTGACTTTTTTTTTCCCCCATTTCTTTGCATTTCTGTTCTTATTCATTCTTTTTTCTCCCACCATCACTCTTTCTATGATCGCGGGGTCTTCTAAGTTGCACTGCTCCTTTGCTACCAATGCTCTAGGGAAAGTCCTCTCCAAGAGTTTTTCTTTAGGTTCTAAAATATAACCTATATGTGAATCTTCTATGTAAACTTTATTCGTTATTTCAATATTCTTTAAAACAGTGCAACTTGTAAGATGACAAATTGCTCCAAATCTGACACACCCATAAGAGCCATACATGTTAACATGGTATAAGCCAGTATGATATAAAACTGTGCCTAAGAACATGCTGGTTCAGTCATTGCTTATAGTACAATTAGTTCACTTCATTCAGAAACCAGTTATTTACATAACAGTATGAAATTCAATCATTTCTTTTGCCACCTATTAGTATCTTTGTACTAACAGAAAGAAAATACGAGGGTTTCACCTCCCAAATTGCACTGACTGACTAGAGGCAGTCAGATAGTCAGAATAATATTTTTTTATTTGTATTTCTGCAGTGCTAAAACACCCAGCTGAAGATCAGTGTCACATTATGGTACATACTGTACAAACACTTCTGAAGATATGATCTTTTTTCTAAGACATTATGATCCAAATGAATAAACATTCATTAAGTACATTTCACTTACTCAAGTCCTTGCCATACTATGTCTATGAAATTCCTTCCTTGTGTTGTTATTGTTCTGAAGCAGAGAACAATTCTTGTTTTCTTGTTGTAAAAGACTCCTTTGATTTTGATTTTACTGGATTTTACATTTGCCCTATAGTGACTTCCAAAGAAGAGATGGACTAACTTTCTTTTTCACAGAAGAAACTAGCAAAAGGAAAAACATGGGATATTCTGCCTGCTGCTTGTGATTGACAGATAATTTAGAGAAGGAATGGAACCTAAATATGTTGATTGATGCAACTGAAAAAATACTGAAGGCAAATCTGTAGGGCTAAGGGGTTAGTAGTGTTGCCCAATACATACTACATACCAGTGATACTACCAGCTTAGCTAAGGCTAGAGGATGTAAGCAATTCTGGGGCAGAAATTATTGAATACGGTAATGCAGCTACCAGTCCCATGGCTCCCTGATGGGAGACCAGGACTCATAGATGTTAAGAGAGTACAAATAACAAGTAACTTGAAGGAAAACAATAATGTTCTTCTCTTGTGTTGTTCAATTAACAATGCTCATTCATTACTCACAGGAACCACGTACCACCCACAGGATTCAGAGGAAGTCCTGTGGAGCTGGGGGCTCCAAAACTGAACTCCATCCATCAGCTCAGGGCTACAGAAAGGGCCCAGATACAATTGTAGAGATCCTGCAGCAACTCGCTGTCAGCAGGAAGACAACAGCTTGATATAATGTATTCACAAACTTCAGGAAAGTCATGCACCCAAATCTTCCTTCCTTGCATTTACATAATTTCTTACATGACAAAGATAAAGGTGAGGATCAGATGGGGAGCAAAACTGCTAGCAGAAGAAAACTAAAGAGAAACTTCATTCCACTGAATAACTTCCACTGAACGGGATGTGTATCACTGACTCGAAGAAAGGGCAAGTAGGAGTTTACAAATACAATAGGCACATGGATCAATTTCTTCTAATTCAAGCAAGAGATTTGTTAATTGAGAAATTATCTGAAAGTGAACCTTCTGAAACTTTTCTACCAACCAGGTCCTTCTGCAAAAGAATAAAACCTTCTCCAGATAAAGCTTATATAGTGCCTTCTCTCATAATGTCCTTGGAAATAACTGCTTCATAAATAGTCTCCCAGACACGTAGCATGCCAGTTATTGAAGAAATTTAGTATCTTGCCCAAGAAAACTGAAGCCTTTGGATTCTGGCATTATGGACAGGGTATAATCGGGACACGCACTTCAACTACCAAGGATACAATTTTAGTGCCATTTAGGTCATGACCTTACAGGAATTTCCTCTGTAACTATGGGATGAGCTTTCCTGAACAGAAAGATTTTCCAGAGATACGAAGTTTTCATCGTAACGATAGCTCTGTAGGTTTTGAATGAATTGATTAACTATTTCTAAACCTTGTCTTATGAAAGTACCAATGACTAAGAAGAAGAGCTGAAAGCTGATTAAATATGACAGTTGGTAGTATTCAGATCAGGACTCAGATATGTCCATCTAAATAGTCTTGACAGCAGCTTTTGCCTACCTTTTTTTTTTTTTTTTAAATATCTACTTTGATCAACCTCTCCAGTGAAACTTTAAGTAATTTCTGCGATGGTACTATTTAGAAGCTGGAACTCCCCTGCACTGCTCTAAGAAGTCAAGTGTTTCACCTGCATGTGACAAATGAGATCAATAAATGCCATTTCTTGTCTCAGTTCCAAAAATTACAAACTCACCTAACAACAACAAAACCCCGCTCTTGTTCAACTAAGGCTTACGTTCTTATGCAAAGGCTGTTATCTGCAGGTCTCTAAGTCAAGCTGAGCCAGTGCTTCACAAGTTCTGTAATTTTCTAAATACACAGTACAGATTTCTTGTCAGCTCATCTAATTCTTGTGTATATCTGGTTCGGTAAGTGGAGAACTAAGAGAATTGTATCCCTTAAATGAACTAGCTTAAAGAAACAACAAGAAAATTATTTTCTTATTTTTGATAACTTCCATGGTTTAGGTACCTACAGCATTCTTTACTGTCAGTTAGGAGATGACATTCAGTTTAAGCATTATACCTTTCACCACATAGTCTTTTGTGCGCAATCTACTATACTTTCCTCTGGAGAAACTGGTACAGTTTCTGCCATAGATGGAGTAGTGTATCTTGTAAGTTAAATGGCAATAGGTGTATCATTTTAGTTAAGTAAGGTATTGATAGGGCTACTGAAGTGAAGTAACAGCATTTGTACACTGAGTTTTTAAAACCTGTTTTCAGGTATGTTGCCTCATTGTCAGTAAGCCAGGATCTAGAGAAAACTTGGTACGCTATCAGCATGTTATTTGCACTTCTCTGCTGAAAAAGGGGCACTCAGATGTCGAGCTGGATACAATCTGTTTTGCACTGAATTTGATGACTGTTTTAATGTCCCAAAGAACACACATACACCTAATACCTGGCATGTGTGCTTAGTTCCTGGCAGTAACAGGGTAGGAGTACCTACTGCCAGTAAATGACTGACTTGCCATCCTGCTTTGATTCTGCAAATCCTTATCAAGATAGTGTATCCAAAGCCATGCTTGTTTTTTACCCCCACTGCTAATTTCTGTGCATTTGTTTCCAAAGCTTCCTAATTCTTACCAGCTGGCAGGTATAAATCCCATCCCAGTAATGAGCTGGCTTGTTTCTGTGTACAGAGCACTGATTGAGATCTTCCTCACAAATATCTATACACACAACTTGTGGTCTGAGCCTACTGCGATTACCTACAGGTTTCACAGAATCTAGTTGAAACAGAGAAAAGTAAGAGATTGGGGAATATAAGCGCTTACAAACAAATTGTCATGTTTGTGTGAAGAATTCCCATTTACTTGTAAGAATATAGTACTCTGGAAAGACATTGTGCGTCCCCTGCAAGCCAGATAACACACATTTAGCATGCAGTCATACTCAACTGTCATTTTGAACACAGGTATGCATATGCACGCTATCCCTGTATGATGCAAATACATGAGATATTGAGCCTTGAAGTGTTGCTGTTCTGCTCAGTGTGCCTCAAGCCCTCCTTCTGCTTTAGTGCAGCATTTATGGAGAAGGGGGAGGCCAGCAAGAGCGCTGCCTTCCTCTCCCAGCAAAGTGAGGATGGTCTGAAATCCAGAGAGGTGCAACTCCTGTTTCATTGCTGTCTGAAATCTGAGCTCCTTTCTTTAGCTGAATAAGCAGCATTGCACTGAAAACTAGAGAAGCACAAATCCCATTACATAGCACCCTGAGGCTGGGCTTCATGTTACAGATGTAACATGCTCCTCTGCTTTTTCAGAGAAGCTGTGGAGTGCATGGCAGGGGGAAAGGGATCAGTAAGCATTGTGAAAGAGCCTCTGTGAAGATGAAAGTCTCAACAACCATTTCCCTCAGGAAGCAAAAGATGAAATATTCTATACTAATAATTTTGCTAATTAAAAAATCAAACTGTTGCCTTATGAAAGAGAGGCTTACTTTTATCTTTAAACTCTGAAGTTTTTAAGACTTACTCCTAAACATACTGTTAGGGATTTCTCCCTCTTGGAAAATCCTGATGTTTTTTCAGTTCAAGACTCTTCTCTGGAGTAGAGGCCAGGGGTGGGTGTACCCTACTAATTTCAAAGCCTAGGCACTGTGTGGGCTGGCAGCCTGTGAAGGAAGCCACAGCACACCTTTAGAGGCCTCAACCTCCAAGAGTCACGGTGGATAGGTTTGGCAACAGGCTGCAACTTACTCTCTAAGGTCTACTGAAGGGCTCAAGAGCATTCTCCACAGGGAACGCAGATGGTGAGAGCTTCGGCATGCTGCATGTTGGGGGAATCAGAGACAAGCCAGAGCTGAAATGCAGTTACTACCACAGGAAATGAATTTAAATTAAACACTGCAAACAAAACAGTGGGGAAGACTGAGCTGTCAGCGTGCCTTTAGTGGCAGACAATCCCGTGGCTGGGATTGAAGCCCAGTGATCTGTTACACTGTTCCTACCTACAATAAGTTACTCCTGAGTTTATCAGAAGGACAGTATCATCTCTCAGTGATGAAAGAGAAGCAAAGAAGAAAGAGGAGGACTATATTAAGTACTAGTAAGAATTTTGTCCTTCAAATAAACTTACATCTGTTGCATGCAACACTACAGTTCAGAGGGTTAGCAATATTTCTCACCAACAATACACCAGAAAATGCCTTACAAAGTAGATGGACAAGCAACCCAAGAAACTATCAATGTAATTTCCATTATGCTTTGGAATCAGAAGAAAATTTATTACACTTTTAAATATCAGGTATCAATTTTTAGAAGGAATACATATTGTGTATTACCACTAACTTGAGCTCATAGTTAGTGGTAATAGGTAAGCACTCAAAAGTGCTTACCCACATGCTTATTTACACACATCATAAACAAAAGTCTGACAAAAATGTATCTTCTAATGTTTCCATGGTACATTATTCTGTATATTAATCACATTGATTGCATTATGACTTTATGTCTAATTTGTCTCTAATGTTAGCAAAATGTTAACAAGAAATTGCTGAAAATCTTTGAGAATTTTCTCCCATACCTATGCAGAATTTATGGACCTTGTCATTCACAGCCCTTGGTCTCCCAGACTGGGGGACACCACTATCAGACTGTAAACTCTATGTTACCATGTGGGTGGAGATACTGCTACGGTGGTTGCTTAACTCTCATACCAACAGCAAACGATTATGTTCACTTGAGAACAGACTGGGGGACACCACTATCAGACTGTAAACTCTATGTTACCATGTGGGTGGAGATACTGCTACGGTGGTTGCTTAACTCTCATACCAACAGCATACGATTATGTTCACTTGAGATGGCTGCCCCTGTTGCAGGACCAGCACTGACAGCAACCGGAGGATATTAACAACATGTACTGAAGTGCCAAAAGAACACAGATGAGACACAGTTCTCCTCACCCCTGGCAAAATAAGGAAATTCCACAATCATCAAGCTAGCTGAGTACTTGCCTGAGATCAGACAGTAGAGGAAGAAGGCCTGTTTGAAACTGAAGTAGTGCTCGTGGCAGAGAGAAACATGAGAAACAACTTGTGAAATCAAAAATGAAAAAAAGTCAAGCTACATTTGCAGCTTAGGTTATAAATCTGCAGGCAATGATTTGATTTCAAGAATAGGCATTTGTTACCACCCAGTTGGTTAGAACCAGGAAATTTGCCCTAGGACAACTGTTGACGTCTCAGGCTACTACCAGGTTATCGTTCCTGTCTGCTACCCACTACACTGGCTCTCCAAAGAATAATGCACAAATTGTAAGATTCAGGCCTTTTCCTCACAGTGTTTAAGTGTCCAGGACATCTAAGAAACTGCCTCACATTCCAGAACTGTAACCCTAGTCTTTAAGCACTAAAGAACAGATCATAACCAGGACAAACCTAATTCATGTCGGAGGCTGAGCTTCCTCAGAGACTAATTCAAGTAGGACGAACTAAGACCTGTTTACTTTTGAAGGTTAATTCCAATTGACCTAGGATCTGAATTGGTAGCAAAATCCCCAAAGTTCATTCCACCTCACGTTGGACCACTGCGCTATTTACCCAGGCTCCCTATATAGACAGTAGCGAGAGATTATCTTCAGAGAGCGATGCAGGTTGCAGGAGAGCTGGGTCATCTTCATGAGATGCCAGAGACCAGTCCCTTTAAAGCAGTACATGCCACTTTGATAATCGCCTTGCTGAGCTGGCCTGTCCCTCAGTGGCTTTAAATAACTGGGGTGAAAGGGTGCACGTAGGTATGACCTTAGGTCATATGCTAAGACGAGTGGCATGACGCATGATACAATTACTGCAGCTGTACAGAACCATGAGTCTATCCCAATTTTCTTAGCAGCTGCTTGCTGCTTTAGAAGCTGCTAAACTAGCCGGAGCTGCAAGTTTCTAGATTATCATGGCCACGTGATTCTCTTAGTAGTATGCACTATGTGTGATCAGCCAACCACATCAAGCCACCTCTGTAAGATGCTGAGATACTATGGTTATGGGAATAGCACAAAAATCTTTATTGACTAGGGTTTCTACAGATTACTAAGATCTTTAAGGAGCATGTTAAGTATGACAAGAGCTTAAGAGGGGACAGTATAATGAGAAAGAGGTGGCTCATCAAAGGGGACATTGGTAAGTGCCTGCCCCTTCGTGATTCCTGGCCTCTTAGAGCTTCCTGCTACTAACTACTGTTCTCTTAGAAGCAACTCTTTCTCATGCCAACTGTTTCTCTTTCTGTTTGCTCTTCTATGTCTGTGGAAGGAAGAAGGAAAGAAGTGGGCTTGCTGGGGACAACATGCTGTCCATACATTGTCTTCAGGGAAAGACGGAGGATCAGGAACTGTTAGGATGAAAATACCTATGGCAGTTCTTTTCAAAGCTGCTCCTCCCCCTGTGCTAATAATCCAAGTGTAGCTCTTCCCTCTCTGTCTTCCAAGCTGACTCCTTGTAAGTGACTTGACTTCTTTAGTAAAATGTGCTACAATATTCTACTGCCCAATCCTCATTAATCTTACACATTGCCCTAGTACGAGAGAGAGAGAGTAAGCTGTTGTTGAGATAACTGGCTTCCATTAGCAACCATGTGATTGGCAGGACGATAAAGTCTTTTCCCTTGCAGGTCAGCTGCTTTTTAAGAAGAGGGCAATCCTGCTGATCCATCTTTTAGCTACAGTCTCTCACTGAGTCCCAAATCTCCTGCCTTTTAGCTTTGATACGGTTCAAGCTTTCCCCCTTGTATCAGCCCCTACCTGTCATCAGCTCCTCTGTACCAAACAGCCAATATCAGGAGTTTGACCTCAGGGCACAGTCCGGGTGGGCAGGTAAAACCTGACCACTGGACCTACTTCCTTATCTTTCATATCCTGCAATTCATGAAGAAGTATCGAATTCAAACTAAAAAACAGAAGCATGACCTTTTATAAGAACTTTCTGAAAAAGGCTCTGTTGCCTTTCTAAGTATTCTTGAAAAGAACTGTCATCCACCCTATTAAGATAGAAATGGATCACAAATAAGGAAGAGAGGGAAAACATTGCAAATCCTTACTAAACGGTAAATGTTTTTAATGTGTGCTTGCAATACCTTTTGGTGAGGCACGCAAAAATATAGTAAAAAACAAACCAAAACAAATACACTAGAACTATTCTACATCTACAAGCTCCAATTGCAACCCAATAGAGTTGCCCAGACTTTTGCTGTTTATAAAGTATCTGAAATTGATTAGATTCCCATGGCATACAGAGCATCCTCTATAAAGCGTTACTTGCATCAAGAGAATTCTAAATATAAGTTGCTAACATAAACTGAGAGCTATCATAAGCAACATAATATCCCTATTTATGTGACATGCTTGACAGTTGGTGCTTAAAACATACAAAAATATTCTTTATTTCCTGTAGCAAGTATGGACACACCCTGCCCTCCTGCATGGCTGGAAATCACGTTTTCCCTTGAAACAAACATAGGCTCTGCAAGGATTTATACCACTTAGGTGGATGACAGAAATGGTGCCAAAATCTCTCAACGTCCTTTCCCTTCAACTAAACTGACTTAGTACAAATTGGAAGATATTTAGTCACTTCTAACATTGATAATAAAAGGAGAATAAAAAAGAATCCAAAAGAGGAAGACTGCTAGTCAAGGCAAGACTTGTGGTGTTTGAAGTCTGGCAAAGTGTATCTTTACATACTGAATTCTGGAACTCCTAATGCACAAGTATCACATGAACAAATCTTATGGCCACAATCTTATATCCTCCTCACGTAGTCCACGCTTATCCCATTGTAGATATTGTTCATTATTATATTACTGTGAGACTGTAACAGACAACTCTACCTTTTAATTTTTTTATTTAAAAAGACACTTTAATGAAGTCCTTTCTAACTATTAGGAGAAGCTGGAATACTTTCGCCTCTGGAATTTTACCTTCTGAAATGCCTTTTCATTATCTTGCGTGAAAAACCTACTAAACTATTAAAAGCAAAAATATTCTTACTATATAGATAATTTGGTATGGAATTCTTTCTACATTTCTCTTCTTTTCTGATGACTTTGACAGGCTCATAATGGTGCTGAAAAATACCACCAACATCTGCAGAAAGCTAAAGACCTTCCATGTGCAGTTAATGATTCATTTCACTATTTAAATGACACTTATACTCGCAATTTTGTGAAATAATAAATCCTTTCTAAAAGCTTACTTCAAGTATGAAAAGTTTTTGAAAATCAATTGCTATGGGTGAATATAGTGTCAGAATTTACAGAGAGCAGGGAATAGAAATAACTACGTGAAATTAAGATGAATAGATTTTAGTCTGGAAAAACCTTCTTTTTGGCAAGAACTGTGGAAAAGTTCTTCCAATATTAAGGCATTTAAAATTAAATTTGATATAGAATAAAGATCAGCCAGCTGGAATAAAGCTGCTTTCTAACAGTTTAAAATAATTCTATGTAACAAATTAAGGAAAGGAAATGCTAAATAATACCATGCCTGATTCTGCTCTCCAGGGAGTAGTTTTGCAGACAGGAGCAATTGCTCAGAATGGAGTCAGGCCAGCACACACCAGGGTAATATGTACACTCTTGCAAAAAGGCATCACAGGATCTTTACAAAATTGTCAGGACCAAAATTCAATCTTATATCCGTGTGACAGTACCACCAGTAGCACAGTGCCCCCTAACAACACATTGGAGAAACAGTTTTATGCTAAATTACAGGGAATAGTGCCACTAATAACACTACGAATAACCGCTTTTCAAAACTAATTACATGGGAATGCAAAAACATGAAAGGTTCTTGAATTTAATAACTTCAGCGTTGGTCAAAAGAGGAAATTAGTAGGATAAAAAACAACAACTAGTGTCTTACTTGTCTGAGGTCGATGAAAGCTAACTGCAGGGTGTCTCCCTGGAATCCTGGCACAGGCTCAGAACTAGCAAACACTGCAAAGAAAGGTTAAAAATATTACGGATGTAGATTTTTAAAAAAAAAATCTAACAGAAAATCAAGCTCTATGCAATACAAATGCTAGCTAGCATTAAAATGAAACTAGTTGGATAGAAATAGATTAAACTAGTAACTCAGAGTGATTAAAAACAAACAAACAACTTTCCCATCATTTTCCCAATAATTCCGAAGAATGGTATCTTTAGGAGTATTATTAGGAATTTTGCTTAAAATTCTATCCCAGTAGTAATGCTACAACCACAGAAGCCAGCATCTTTTTTTGGCCTGAGGTGAATGATTACTGAAGAATTTCTAAATAATACCAATTCCATGGCTGTCAACATATTTTCAAACATCTGCTTTTGTTACAGCATCCGTGCTATAAAAACCCCACCTCTAGCCAAACAGCAATAAAAGAGAAACACTAAGGTGGGAGTTAGTTTAATGTGTAGACGACAGGTGGAAAGCTCTACGTGCCACAGTCAGAGCAGAGCTGAAATGCCTGTTCACGCCTTTTAGCCAGCTTATCAATATGAACTTCTGCTCTTTTTGAACCCCAAAATAGGCTGTCAAAATTGGAAAGCAAAACTATATTCAAAATACAAAAAATGGTAACACTATGGTAATGAAAAAAAGTCAGCTATTTGTTTAAATTAGGAAATTATCAGTAATTGTCAAACTTAAAAATATACTTTTTGTTGTTCTTATCCCAGTCACGTTAATAACAAAGACACTTGCAGAAACACCCACTGCCTCACATCCCCGCTCAAGTTAGACATCTTGCTTCAAAAGAGCTTAAGAGAATTGTTCTTATGCTCTTCAGTTAGAGGTGTTAACAAAACAAAGTAGATATTACTGTAATCGTTTTAGAGAGGTATCATCTGAGGCAGTGCAAGGTAACATTTTTTTCCAAGTTCGAGAAACCCATCATTCAATGGTAGAGGAAAGAGAACATATGTATCCAAAAAATTGCCAGATCCAGTGCTCAACTACTGTGCCACACGGACTCCTACTAACATTTAAGAGTAATCCTCAAAAGAAATCCTTGATAGATTTTTTTTTTAAGGGCTAGTTAGAAAATTTGGATCATCAAGTGAAAGTAACATCCAGAAAGACACTGGTGTCTGAGCTAACATGATGGTAAAATAATGGGCTCAATCATTTACTTCTCAATGTATGTTTTCAATTTAAAGCAGACTAATGAATTTAGACTTGTGAATAGTCTATCTGAAAATGATTATATGGAACGCAATTGAAAATGAAAATAATAAAGATTCTTACTTAAGTGGTACAAGAAGCTACTGAGACAATCTCAGAATATGTAAGAATAGCTTAGTAATAGATGAATATAGTATCAGAGTAGCAGCTTCACTGGTAGAGGCAGAGTTTATTATTTGTATTACAGTAGTGCAAAACTTTTTATGGACAGTCACGTAATAGGAGAATGAATTAAACTGGAATATGAATTGATTCTTCATCAACTAAAGGAATAAAAAATAGCAATCAAACACCCTAGAGAGAACACTGTAATGTCACAGACAAGTATTGGTAACAGTTGGCAAATGCTCACTGATTACTGTATTCAAGACTGAATTCTAAATTATCTGGTTTTCCTGCTTTATAGTTAACATGAACTTTCTAGGGGAGTTTTCAGGGAGTTTCAATCTACCACAAAGATGCTTTTTAAATAAAAAAGAAGAAAGATAAAAAACAGTGGAAAAAGCATTTTATAGAGAGAGTTTGCTTAATAATACACTCTTTAAAAGCAGCAAAGAGAAAACAGTTTGTACAACCACCAAGCTGCAGAAGAACAAAAGATCTCCAGGCCTATGAAAGCACCCTTCTGAACACCCTAGGCTAAAGGGTTGGGTGTCTCCATGGCTGGCTTCTGCTGGGATTTCACGGCCACTGGGACCACCCTTTCTTCAGGGACAGACAGGCCTATGATACTGGCCCCTGTGGTCACCCAAACATAGCATTTAAAATGGGAACACCATACTATATAGCAGGGAATTCTTAGCAATGCCCAATAACAAACAGCTAAAAAGAGATACATGGGTTGTGAGCTGTGGTAGCACACTAATAAGGAGGATAAGTGCGATGGTCAGAAGGGGTCTTTTCTACATCCCCTAAACAAGGAAGGAAAACCTGTCCTATTCCTCAAAGATAAGGCCCATCTGTATCTGAATCCTATATAACTTTCCGTTCATACACAGTACACTGAGACCAGCTTCCCCGACTAGAACCTGAGCTCCTCCAGCCACTCCACAATGGTAGCACTGGGAGAAGGAAGCTCTATGGCAAAGGAATGGCTACAGAACTGAGAAGTGAATATAACTGAAAAGCGTGACCTGCAGCAAAACTTTTCAGTTAGCTATTGGAACTTTATACTTTGGGAGGTACCCTCCTATAGTGGGATCCTTTTACTTGTCACAGGGCAAATATTTGCATCCTTCCTGCAGCTCATCAGGCTAACATAGTTTGGAATTTATCCTAATGCATTAAATAAGGCAGTACGATTTAGTTTCTCTACATAGTACCTACTACCATTGCCGCTATAGAACAAGAAGCACACAAGGTACCAAACAATTATTGTATAAGCTTTGTTCTCTTTAATTACAATTTTATATTATGAGTGCATTTACAACACCAGGGACACTCGTTATAGCACAAGCATTTATTCTCACATTTGGGTCATTTTTGACAGGTGACTACAGTAGAATTTGTTTCATTATTACAATTTCATGAGTTCAAAGGGCAAAAAGATAATCTACTTATGGTAACGGTCAGACAGTTCCCCCTCTGTCCTCAGCTCAGGGCTTTTAAGTTTTGCTAACAATTTTACAAAGCTAATTAAATATTTTCTACTGCGCAGCGTTTTAGGAAGATGTTATGAGAACAGGATTAACATTCTTAATGCCTTTGTCCTAAGGGTCCTTTTCAAGATAGCAATGAAACATTGTCATATATACATCTTTTAAAATATTCACCCCCTACATTCATTCTAGGCTTAAAGAGGATTTGGAGGGGTAGGGGGCTGGTTGGTTGGTTGTTTTAGTGTGCATAAGAGCATTCAGGAATTTTATAATATATGAGAATGAAATGCAAAGATTTGAACTGTCACATATAGGGGCAAACAACTGGCTGCTTGGCAGTTTGAATCAGAAGCTTCAATGTTTTGGGGAAAATAAGCTGAAAATATGAATTACATGAATCCAATATTCACAAGGTTTTTGTTAATATCTTTCCCTGCACTTTGCTGATACTGTGTAGACCTTTTCTGTGTATATAGAACAGGATCTCTGGCACAATGCATGTCCACAATATGTACAATCTCAACGTACTTCCTACAACAGCCAGTTTGGGAATTTACAGGAGGTGGGATCTAATGAAAAAAGTATGTAATAATACAAAAACAGGCTGGGAGGTAACACATACACGAGAACGGTAAATTTAAGTATTGTAAAGATGACTTCAGTCCATTTTCTTTTGAATACTTTGCTTTGATCTTTTCATTACATTTTGTATACAGGATATATGTGAATTGATGTATATATGTGTTAATGGATATCTTAAGAAAAAGGCTGTGTCTGCTAAAATGGAATTTAAGACATCTTTAACTGTAAATTGCACTGAATTTCTACGCACTTCTAGATTTATTAATAGATCTCTTCATTTTATTCTCTCAAACCCCCATCTTTTAGCCATCATCTGGTTGTGCCTCTTTGTTGGTCTGGGAATTCAGTACCTAATTCCTGACCAATAGTTTTGCTGCTCAATGGCAGAAATTAAAAATCAGGAGTCCAGACTTTGGGTCAAAAGCTAAATTAGGACAGTTTTACTTCAGCCTCATAGCACTGATTCACAGGCAGCAAAGCTACAAATGTATTTTTAAAGGAAGAAGGGACAATCAGGTGACTATCTCAGCAGCCGTCAGCCACTTTGCAGCCCTGTTGGATGCTCCAGCTGTTCAAACACGCCTGGAGGGGAGCCTCGCTGAAGGAGCTGCCAGCTGCTGGGCAGCAGCCCCCAGCCCTGCCCCCAGCATCGGCAAGATCTCGCTGCTTCCCCTCACTCCCGTGCTGCCATATGTGACCGGCAGATGAAGGATGATCTCAACTGAGTTAAGTTAACCTGACTTCCCAGATGGGAGGGGAGGCAGGTAAAGTGAGGGGCCTCCAGAGGAGAATATAGTGCCTTTTCAAGGAAATACAGGATTTGGGTTCCTCAGCTTCTGGCATGCCCACCTGGAGACTACCTTCGTGTACGCTCAACAGAGAGCACTTGGGTCAAGATCTCTCTTGCTCTTGGATACTGCAGCTTTCCACACAGTTGGTGAAAAAGGAGGGACTGGCAGGAAGCCCTGCGTAGGGCTGGTTAGGAAGGTGTATTGCATCCTGTTTTGCGCTAATTCTCTGCTAACCCATACTCATTTATAGGCAGGACCCAAAACCTTTTCATCCTTCACAGATTCATGTCTGGGTGAAGAAGGATGCCCACTCAACCATACCTCCTTCTGCCAATTAATCCTGTCTCACAATTCAGCTATGTTAAAACATATAAATTATAAAAATTACATTTAAGTCTTCCAACAATTAGAATTTCTGACAAGTTCTAATTCCTTAATAAAAAGCTGATGTAAGGTATCTAGATCTGGATGGTGTCTCTGAAAAGCTCATTTTTTATTATGTACACCCTGCTTCTCATAAAGTGAGATACAGCAACCCACATTTGAATTTCACCTTCAAGAAACAGCAAACGCCACCCCTCCCCAACCCATTTCCCTCCTCAGGGCACTGAAATGCAATGTTCAAGCAAAAGAATATTCTTTGGGTTTTAGTCAATGGGACCTTGTATGTTCTATTTTTCTGAATACTGTTGTAAGAATCCCAATCATCCTAGTGGAAGATCACCACTGAGAAAAAATGGTGTAAAATACAGAGGTAAAACACCGCTCTAAGTTATAAAATATGTAGAGAGAGTGGAGAAATACTTCAATTAGAACAGGACAAACTGAAATCAAACTGAAAGCTTTTGGAATGTTTGGAAAGAAAACGAAAAACTTATTAGAAGCAGAGCAAGAAGATCATAACTTTTTTTTTTAAATAAATCATCAGAGAAGACCAGCTGATGCTATTACTATTCTTGAACAAAAGCATCAGATACTTCAAGATTTTCTGCTCTGCTTTTTAAACTTAGGTACTTTGCATAGAAATGCAGTGCAGGATAATGAAGTCCCAGAGTTCACCACAAGATCACCTCCTTCCCTTCCACCTTCCTTTCTTGGAAGTCCACTTATCATTCTACCTATTTGCTGTGACTAAGAACTTCAGCACTTACTGACTTCAACAGATTGCTGCTCATTAACAGATTGTTGGGTTGTTGGTTGGACCGTTGATTGCTTTTTAATGGAAGAGAAAAAAATCTGTCAAGTAATCACATTTTCCTGCTTTCATTTAGATCTCCAGTTCATATTAGAAAAAATAAAAATGTAATGTTAAAGATCAGAATAAATATCTAGAATATTGCCAAGAATTTTTAAAAATGCATCTTCAGATATTCCTAACTTTCTACATCTCACATAACTTCTTAGTTCAAAATGCATTTGAGTATACTCCACTGTGTCTATAAGTAAAATGTCAAGCCCATGTATACAATACAGTAGGAAACTACCCAACAGTTGTGAATTATTCGCACACTCTAAGCACTAATTGAAATGTCACTGTCGTATCCATTAATCCCAAAGTGTCAAAGAATAAAGCTGGGGGAGGGTGATGAGCAAGAACATAAATCACAGTGAGGCCTGGAATGTGCCTGTGATGGACCTTATGAATGAAACCACAACAGCAAAGCAGTCTGAGCAAAATCTTGTGTTGATCCCTTATTCCACAGATTGTAAGGTGTCATTTGTTGCAACATACTATTCTGACAAGCTTCCATAATTATATTTAAACTACTCAAAGGGTTTCTGTGCAAAACCAAATTTTTTCTAATGTGCTTTAAAAGCTTTGCAGAAAGGAAGAATTAAAGTTTATTCTATTTGCATCTGTACAGCCAATGCTAGAAGTTATGCAACAGTGGAAAGAATGCATTTTTCAGTCTTTAAATTACTGGTTTTCTGAAACTTTCTCATTTTGGCCCAAGGTTTCCTATGTCTTGTCCATGTCATATGCTCAGTATAACAGCTACATATAACAAAACGATGTCTTAAGGTTATATTTTAATCTTAAAATAATGAAATGTTATCATGTTAGATTAAATAAAACTCTATTAAGATTCTTCAATGATTGAAGTTTCCACTGTGCAGCAACCAAAGAAAGAAAGTGGTAATAGAAATTAGGATGGTACATAGCAGGGCAAAGGCTGAGAAGAAAAAGGTCTGAAAACAACCCAGAGACCAGACGACAGCCAGACTCGTTGGGACTTCTCATTACTTTGCTGTGAACATACTGTTCATACTGTGAAAGTCACCTGCAAAGCATGCATTTTATCCCCTGTACTGCTGAAATCCCCGAGTGAAACAGTGAATTGGTTGATCTATACAGAGTAGTGAAGTAATGCGTTGTTCACAGATGATATTTTAAATATTATAAACAGAATAATACGGTAGTGGGCAAGCTTTCTTCACTGTTACACTATTTGTTCAGAAGGCAGATGACTGTGTAGTGGGTGCACCAATTCAGCTTGTCTAGATGAATGATTATGGTGTCAGTATTATGAATACTACAGAATTTCTGTTTTTACAACTGGGATCTTTTTTACATTTAGGAAACTACACAAATGCACATACCCCTACCCACCTACCTGAAAAGAACACTATTAAATTTGCAACATCAAGCATACTAAAAGTAAAAAAAAAAAAAAAAAAAAAAAGAAAAAAAAAAAAAAAAAAAAAATCATCATCTGTTTGGCCAACTTGTGCAATCACGAGACAAACTTAATATCATGATCACAAATACTTTTTCAATCGGACCCTGATAATCCCGTCAGTTCATTCCATGCACTGAAAGGCCTTAAGGCTGTATAATGAAGGACTGTCAGAAAGATGCCTTCTCTACCTGTTACAGAGTTTAGCTGGAATGTAACAAATAAGGCAGGAGAAGGAAAGACAAGCGTATGGTTAAAATGTCAAAAATGCTCCTTAACTCTGTCCCTGGACTCCCACAAGAACCCTTTGTGATGCTAACCAAATTGCTTGAAATCAAATTTCCAGTTTCCCATAGGTGGCTGCTAATTGAGTAGTCATCAATTTTTTCACGTGTCCAAACTAAAAACCTCAGGATACGACTTGCAGAACTGCCCCATTTTACAGCTGTCACCAAAATCATTGAGATCTATGCTTCAAACACGTAAGAGGAAAGATACGTTGAAAAAACAGAGCATGAGAATCTAAAAATATGCATTTAAAAAAACGCTAATGAGTCTCTTTTCATTGTATCTCAAGTCATCAACTATAAAACCAGACCTAAAACCTATTCATAATACAACAATGTTATGGAAGTAACTTCCTTCATACAGATTAACAGCTCACCCTCAGCGGTGAGCTCCACACAAAACATGAGGAAATTAATCCTGCCTTCAGCGCTGGATTGAACCAGTTTTATAAAATAATTCTGATGCCATATTTTGAACAGTGTGAATAAAACAACATCTGATGTTTACTAAATGAGTACTATTATTCTGCACAGTGAGTAAGGCCGTAGTAGTTCTAGGAGGGAGGAAACCCTATGTAACAGCACATTTAAAATTTGTATCATAATAAATAAACTCAAGAGGGAAAATTAAAATTGCACAGACATTTGACTTTTTTTATCTCAAGTATAAAAGCATAGTATTTAGGCAGTGGTTTGGGGCAATTTTGTACTAGACTATAGTCTTTTTATTGGATATAGCGATTATGATCTAACAAGAGACGTACATGTCAATCAGATACTTGAGTTAAAAAAAAAAGTTTCGTAAAAATGAAAAAAAAGAATTCCCAGAAATGTTAACATACTTACTTATAAATACTTTTACAAGAAGCTGTGCTGCAATAATATTTTCTTTTTTTAAAAGACAAAGCTTTAGTAGATTATGGAAAAAGATCACTATATGGCTTACATTAAAGAACTTTTTTGCAGTGTTAAGACAGATATAGATAGGAATTCCGGAACATCTACTTACATTCACACTGTATCACATCTAAATTAAACTGCTGAATTGCTCCCATGCTTATTTGTTTTAATTCACTGTCCAGTAGCATCTGCATTAGGGACGTTGAAAGATGCTGGCAGGCTGACATGCAAGCTGTCTGGGCCACTTTCCCCTAGTAGAAAGAGCAACAGGTTTTAAGATACAAACAAATGATACGTCAGTAAAGAACTGCTTATCTGATTTGATTTTAATATACACTCAAAGTCTTAATAATGCAGGACTTAGATTAGAAAGAGAAAGATCACACTTGCTGTTATTTCTTTGACCTGTTAGCTTTGTTTCTATTAAATCAATCGGGGAACTAAATTAAATATTTGTTAAAGCAATTATTGATATCTCTTCCGGAAATCCAACAGTCTTCATGAATACAAGGACATTTCCAAAATAATAACAATATAAGTTGCTGAAGCATATGAACAGCTTTGTGGATTTGTTTAATTTTTTTTACCCAAACAGAATGAAAGCAAGAATGTAATGAAAATCAACATGCTGCATATTTTTAACAGAAGTCAGTAAAAAAACCCCAAACTTTATATAAACCAAAATCATTGCTTTCAGTTGGGCATTTCTCATAACAGCTTGTGCTAATTATTGGCACTTTAATTGCTTGAATTCCACCTCAAAGCTTGATGCTAAATTATTTAAAATATTCATGCTTATCCATCATCTTTCCAGGTGCTTAATAAATCAGTGCTGTCAGTAATCCATTACTTACAAAATGAAATGTAGCCCTCTGCTGTACAAAATAGAAATAATTTTCCAATCACAGTCTAGTTAGTAACATTTCTCTTTACGACGTATACGTAATTGAGACAAATAATTTTCCAAACATGAGACCAAAAAACAAAGCACAAAACCAGACGTTAATTTGATAAATTATTAAAAATTTAGTACAGAAAAATTGAAAGATATGGAAATTCTACCTTAGTATTAAGAAAACCAATTAAGACCAGATACCCGATCAGATGGCATCATTCTATTCATAGCACTGCAATCTTTTAGAGCAGAGCGATCTTGGCTTTCAAATGCAATTATATGAATTTCTGTAGTTTAATGTACTTATTAAACCATGCTTTTCAACTGATGTCTATGTTACAGTACATATTGAAACAAAGGTAACTGTTAACACGCTTACACGAAAGAAATCATAATTACATAATACACCTACTAGAGCACACACCACTATCGTTTTACTTATATCCCTCAGTAAAGTGATGACACCTATCCTCTAAAGCAATGGTTCCCCAGCTGTTTTCTGCAAAGTCAGGTTGATCAATTCACTGTTGACTCACAGAAACACATATAAGCAATGAAAAATGATAAGGATAGGCAGTAGTTCACTGTCCCAAAAAGTTTGGAAAGTTCTGCTCCAACATCTGAAGAGCGAGATCTTGTCCTTAATAAGACAACTTGCTCGTATGATTGAATTTTCATGTATACATATAACAGAAAGCAAATTTGGCCCTAAGTATTTTGTACTTTAAAAATCCATTCTTTGTTAAAACATAATTAAAATGTAGATAATACAATGGAAAGTGTTCACTCTCCTCACATGTCACACTGAAACATTAAATGGCTTTTGCTAATACCTCTTTGGCATTAGGACACCTTGAACTGTTAGGAGCTTTATATCTAAAATGAGATGTCAGTTTCTTAATTGAAAATCTCAGAAAAGCAAATAACATTTTTGACCAAAATAGATGAACTGACAACGAGGAATGTAAGAAACAATGCAAGAACAGCATGCTTAAAAGTCTCCCAAACCCAATGGTAATTACACTGGGAGACATGCAGCTCTATTCCCCAAGCAGAACAATATCAGTATGAATGGGAAAAAAAGAAAAGGGGGAAAAAAGGGATAAAAAGAAGGAAAAAAGGAGGTGAGAAGGGGAATCAATGGGCCACAGTTCATTTAATTACAGTGTAGTAGGTTTGAAATACTTAATGGAAATGTCATTTTGATTTAATGGAACAACTAGCGCATCTCTGTTTAATGTACTGCTCCATCAAATCAGCTCCATGTCCTATTTCTGCTGCCACTATAATGTAATAGAAGTTCAACCAGATTCATAGGTTGTCAAGAAAAATTTTAACATTCAATTTATTTTATATGCAAACAATGTGTACTCCTCTATTATTTTAAATAAAAGACAGAATTTTATATTTCTAACAAGCACCTCTAGTTAATTGTTACAATCTGGCAAATATCAATAGTACTGGAGCACAAGATAATGGTTACAATACAGAAATGACATGGTAAAAGCCACTTGGAACTTTAAATAAGTATCAATACATGTACGTTTAATGTTTATTTTAAAATTTCATAAAATGGAAACATCCTAACATTTAAGCTATTTCCAACTATGTAACTTGAACTACAGGCTTATTGTTCACATCACATATCAACAAATAATAGAATTTTACTATAAACAGTTTCTACTGACTCAATACAATCACTCAATTTTCTTAAATCTAGAGAAAAAACGAAGCTATGCATATCAATCAAAATGCTGAATTTTAACTGAGAGAAATGTGAACTTTACTGTTATCCTCTTCAAAATTCAGTGCTTCCCAGTTCAAAATACGTTGGATGTATGATATTCAGAAAATAATTAAATTCAAATTCGTGTTTGACAAATGAGATCTAGTCTCATCTCAAATCTCTCTCCAAATTTCCACCATCCACCAATTAATCAATTCCTTGCCAATTTTTCATAATGCATTTTGAAAAGGAATATTAAGGATTCATGAACATAAGAACACGTTTTTTTTCCAGAATTAAACAAATCTCAGTTAGTTTTAAAACATTCTTAATGTTTATTATTTGTCAGTTTGGGGGATTTAAATTACTATTATCTTTTTAAGGGGGGGTGGCTGTGGTTACTGTACCTAGCAATTAAATACCTATATTCAATAGCGTGCAGAGATTCAGCAGGCTTCTCACATTCACTCCAGTTGCCTCCCATTTGGAGACGCCACTATTATCTCCACTATGCCTATGCTAATTGCTGCTATCCACAAAACCTTTTCTTCCACTCAACCAATGTAAAGTTTAAGAAACAAGGACCCTATTCTACAAGCAAAAACACCTGCTAATAGTGTTAAAGGCAACTGTTTTTTCACCCAGCCTTCACATTTTGCTGAAATACAAGTTTGTAAAAAAAGAAAACCCTTAGACAAACTTCTTATATTTCAAAGGAGCTTGTGAAGAGAATCTGCTGACATATTAAATCCTTTTTTATAGGATCCAAAAGCTTTTCTCCTAAGAACAATTGCAGTAACGAGACATTTGGCTCCTAGGAAATTCCCAAAGGGTCAGCCATATGCATCCTTCCACAGCACCTTCGCGGTACTGCTAAGACCCATGCTAGCTGTCTCAAAAGCAGCTTTCATCGTTCACTATGGTGTCAGTCAGTATGATTTATGGACTGCATTCAACAAAGTCAAAGCATATAGAATGAGAAATATGACTACAATCTGCTAATTTGTTTTGTATTGAGCCACTTAGGAGTCAAAGACCTGATGTCAGGCTGAGACTAGCAACACAATTAACCGGCCAGTGACAGATTCATCCATCCTCCCTGCCAGGCTGTGCCAATCAAAGACAGCATGAAGCGGCATTTGGAGAAATCAGTAAGAAAACCCATTCTCTAAGTAGCCTGTGGAGGCTGTTGATTGACAGTTTTTGAATATAGCTGCAGAAAACCACCACTCCTTCACCCCCACTGCAAGCTGTGAAATTAGGCTTTTGCTGCCAATCACAGAAACAATAAAATAACACAAACTGCCATCCTCAGCATAAAAGGAAATAACAAAACTTATCTGTTAAATCTAAGAAGTTAAGCTGAAGAATTAATTTAACAATATGAAATGACATAATGAAAAACTTTCTGCAAATGCAAAGAAACTAAACATACAGATTTTATCAGTCATAACAACTAAGACATTATATTACGTAACATCAGGACTAAAATCCAACTTTTGAACTATTGATAAAATACAAGTATACTAAAAAACACTAATGGAATTTTTAAGAATCAATTTTACTTCCAGTCTCTGCCCCAAATTCTACTGAAATAATAAAAAATACCTACTTGAAAGTAATTTGTAACTGTTACTTTTCAGTAGTCATTCTTTTCCAAAGAGTTGTCCAATACTAACTTAGTACTGACAAAGCACATATCTAGAATAAAACTTCAGCTAATTCTAAACTTAAACACACTTATTTATATACTCTCTATAGTTTCAAATTAACTGATCTGAAAATAAAAGGTATGATTTTTCTTTAACTGTTCAAAACAAAAACTAAAAAATGCAGGTCCTTAATAACAAATTTGATCATCCAATTGATTTTATGAGATTAATGGCTGTATAATGAAATCTTAATTTGCTTTTTGATTCGAAGTATCTAATGACTCTATAAACTGCAGCATGAACTTAAAATGGGATGTAAAAGAACCCTAAAACAGCAATAATCGTGAAAGACTAAATTCTTGTGACTTTAGAAAACAGAACCACTAAAAACTGCATGACTTTTAAATTATAACCTTTCAAAAGCAACGCAGCCTCTGTGCTCTGCATCTCTGAAATTCTGCTAGTGCTTGGTCATGACATAACCAGCACACTGACACCTATTCAACATTAACAGGAAATATTTCTACACAAAATATTCACTATTCCTAGTGCTCATGACACCTATTAGCTTGACAGTTCAACATGAGGCTGAGTATTCAAATCATAGAAATGTTCACTGGAATGAAGCACCAATGTCATCTAGTCCAGCCTCCTACCTGGAGTAGGACTATTGCCAACACTAGTTCAGGTCTATTGTCCTTTTTTCTGGCTGAGCCTTCCAAACAACTGAGGATGGGCATTCAACAGCCTCTCTGGGTAACCTCCTCCAACACCACACTACTCTATTCATGCAAACTTTTCCCCTAATGTCAAAGCTTCATCTCCAGAGCTTCTACTTGTGACCATAGCCACATGTGAATTTGTCAGTGCTACCAAGAAGAGTTTGGCTCCATCACCTTTGTATCTGTCCTTCAAGAGGTCGTAGACTGCCACTAGATCTCTCCCCAGCCTTCTCTTTAACTGACTAAATAATCCACCTCCCTAAACCTCCATTTGTGAGTCATGTGCTCTAGGCTCCTAACAACTTGTAAGCACACTGCTAGATCCTCTCTCCAGATCCACAGAGCTACTACTCAGCCAATTGCTTTCCAGATTGTAGCAATGAACGGGGTTATTCCCACACTGCGTACTCTAAGTGCCTTACACATTTGTTCACTATAACAGTAAACAGCACAGTGTACATTTGTTGCTGTATGCTGCTTAAGTGAACAAGATTCAACCACATTGTTAGAGAAAATTAGTAAAAGTAGGTTCAGAAATTCAGTATTCAGAAGCCACTCTTAACAGAATAATATTAATTTCAATACTTTCGTTATCATGGAAATGCTTATGTCAAATCAAAATAAACTCCTTATACAAAAATTGATGACCTGAAAATAATCAGGGCTTGGAATAATTCTTAAATGCAATCCATCATCTTCTTAAAAATAAAAAAAAATTAAAAAATTGAGCACACACATTCCCTTGACCCTAAGCAGATGTAGCAGAGAAACAATGGAACTTTCACTGATTCTTTATTCTGTTATATCACTCTACCTTTATTCTGTATGCACGTCTCATAGCTGCATTTTGATACTTGACCTCTCTTTCAAACAGCCTCATAGTCTCCTCTAAATTATCTCATTTGGGATGCAAGGCACACCCCACCAACCTTCTGCAAGGTTTTTAGGGCTCCTGCTGTCCCAGTGTACGAAAGCCCAATGTTAGTCGTTAACCTGATCCCTGCATGCAACCACACAAGGTACGCAGCAAATCATCAGCAAAACAGAAGGGTCTTTTTATTAAATGTTTAAAAATTGAAGCAATAAGCCTGCAGGCAGTTCATAGTTTTTCAGTTCACATGCTTTTTCTTCATCTTGCATCTACTTACCGACATAGCTGCATGGTCATTGTTGTTATTCTGAGAAGGAAACCAGTAAGGCAATCAAAACAAAAAAATTAAGATGTACTGTCAACATCAAAAAAAAAAAAAAGAATAAAAATTGGTAGCAATAAAAGGTAAGGAATAGCTTCCAAAAAGAACAATTACAGCTACAAAATTCTTTAAATTATTTTTTTTTAAACCTGTGAACTTATATAGTATTTTGTTGAGGCATAACAAAGAGATTAGAATTTAAATAATACTAATTCAGCAATAAAATGTTTTTCTGTAATAAGGAACTGTATGCCAAAATATCAAAGTAGCAAAATTCAAATGACAAAGCGTCTATTGATATGCCTTTCCAGAAATCTTTCATTACAAGAAATAATATATTCCAAAATACTTAGGTTGACAAATAAATGCCATGTTTACCATCTTAGCTTACAGAGGCTATCTGTATGTCATTAACATACTTTGTTCAAGCCAGACTTAGAATGGCTCAGGACAATAAGAATCTAAATGTAACATGACCAATTAATAAATTTTAACATAAATCTAATAGTAATATAACTGCAGGGTGGAATAAAGCCATTTTCTTTTCCAAAACTGCTTCTTAAGTACAGTAAACAAACACAGAGGAGAAAACTAAGATGTAAAACTTAAAGAGGGGAAAAAAAAGCTTCAGAGACGCAAGACATTTCCAGTGATTCACTGGAGATATCAGACCCCAACTAAGTTGTGCCACGAAGTGTGCAGGTTCAGTAAAATTGAGATCATGGTCTACCTGATTTAGATCGCTAACATTCCAATAAAAATAATACAAATTGCATAAGACAGATGTGTAACATAAGATGTATTTTTTAAAAGCTATGTCTACATAGGTACAAAAATAATTCCGTATAGCCCCACATGGAAGCACAAAAGGAGACACACCCCTGTGCATTTACACAGCTTACACATACAGCTAAAATAAAACAAGACTCTAACGACAGGAACTCAATGACTGCAACAAAAAATTGTTAAAGAACATATCATAACACTTCTACAGGAAGACTAGAGTTTGAAACAATATCAAAGGGAAAGTCAGTGACCCTTGAACGAGACTACGGAGAACTAGTGTGGCCAGCTAGTGCCCCTAGCCCTAACACAATGCCCTCTAACATGATCAGATACGCTAAGGTAGGAAGAAAAGAGATTTCCTCTACTTGTCCTGCTCTTTTCCTTACTAGAATTATGGCCAGTGGCTAGGACTTTTGTTCTTTGATTTCTAATTACAGAAAAGGTTCTGAGAAACTATTTTGAGCAGTGGAATGTTTCTGCCAGCCATACAAAAATTATTATGGAAATGACACTGTGACATTAATGGAATAATCCATTAACGAAAATGAATTCTAAAACTATTCCAAATCTTAACTATGGCAAATGAGAATCTAGCTTAGTTTAGCACTCCAAAGCACTTTTTTAATGAGGTATGGGACCTAGTTCTGGGCTTATCTTTGAAAATGCTTTTACTATAAATTTTCTCTTAATGAAAATGACTTACTATTACAAATCTAACCAGAATCACCATAATGAAACTGTATACACGTTTTCATATAACCTCCACAGCTCATGCACAACAACATTCATAGGACTGTATGTTTCTACAATTGGCCAAGCCAGAATAGGGAGCAATACACAGGATAAGTCAAAAATTACAAGAACCCTCTTGCCAGACCAGACTAGTCATCCATATAGTTCCACATCCTTCCTGTTACCTGACCAGAGTTTGAAATTACTAAATAACCTCTTCATAGGAACTAGCTTTCTCCAAAGGTTGACTTGTGCCCCCAGATACATATTTCTATTCCTTTCACACTTTTCAAGTCCTAATGCCACAGCTGCTTCTTTCCATCCCTCTTAACACATTACTTCGTTCTGTCTGTGGCTCATTTCCAAACAGCTATATCACAACATACATTCATGACAGACTTCTGTACATCCTTCTCTAGAAGTTGCACATTCCTTAACTGCTATATGCATATGACCATTGAGGAGCAGTTTCATTGGTTCACACTGCTTTGTATGTTAATTTACAATGAATTTAACTACCTAGCAAACTTGCTATTCTTTATCAAAAAACGCTCAGCTGATTGGCACAGAAGCACATGCCTCATATGTCACATTCACATCAGTATTATGTGATACATTTTGAGTGGGTTATGTCTTTGAGTCAGTAAAAAAGAGACTGAAGAATCACAGCCTCTTCACATGTGATTTGGAAGACCACATAAGCCCACTATGCCAGCAACTTCAACACCTTGCTGTGCACATAAAGAAATTATCTTTTACTTCCAGTCTGGAGCCTCAACACAGCCTATGCATTGAGGACTTATTCTTTATAGGCATTGCATGTGGGTAAAGCACTCAGACATCAGTGTGACAGTTGCAACCAAGGACAAGATGATGAAAAGCAGATGTAGCTTGAAAGACCTACTGAAGTTACTCCAGACCTATAAAGCTATAAACTGTTACGATGATAAATCAAACTAGAAATAGTCTTTTTTGTCTTAAAGCAAGGAGAAATCAGACAACAGAATGTAACAATTAGTACATAAAACAGGTTAACAGTACCCTTTTACCCGAGACAAATTAACACAGGATATATTTGAATATGAACAAGGATTCATTTCAATGAAGCTCAGTTAACTAGAATCAAATTCCTTTTTATGATCAAAACTATTTAGCTAAAAACAGCCTTGGAGAATCCAAGACCTCCATAATCTTGTGCACAAATGCAGGATTTGCACCAATTCTGCATTGTTTGAATCAATGCATGTGTACACAGAACCAATATCATTAATTAAAAAGGCCATCTGATGCTCTAGAAAACTGCACAAGTTCTTACACTATTTGTAAATTTGCTGTTGTTAACAATATTACTAAAGTATTTGAAAGTATTTTCTAAGTATTACCATGGGTAAGCATCATCAACATACTGAAACATTATCTGAAAATACATCTGTACTGAAACATCTAAAAAATACATCTGCCAGCATGTGCACAATTCAAAAATCACATCTATCTTCAAAATCTTAGTATTTTAAAATAAACTAATGCTCCAATAGCTTGAAATTAAACTTAATTTTGAACACTTACAGGTAAATGAGTAAAAACTTGAAACGTGCTTCTTAAAAAGTTAATAAGGTCCATTAAGTATCCACTGGCTCTTCCATCTGATTCAGACATTGTCCAATCATAATCAGCAATCTGAATAAATTCATCTATTTTTTGGTTAAGTTTTGTGTATATTTCTCCTTCTGCAGCATGCCTTGCATCCTGAAAAAAAAATTGTGTGCAAATGTCAGAATTCTAAAATATTATTAGAATGCAGATAAAATTATATTCATCAATGAAACTGAAGTCTTGTGTTTTTCTTAGATTCAAAAAATGTATTATTTAAATCAGTATTTTCATTTCTGTCTTACAAGTCTGAGGCTGTGGTTTTTAAAATACTCCCATTATGCATACTATAAGAGTGTTTATAACAGAATATGCCTACAGAATAATCTAAGTTTTCAGAGACAAATTAAATCAATGTGAATTTGGAAACAAAGAGATTGCTTTACTCTCTTCACAACAACCACCTTTAATTCAGCCTTACAATTTATCAACCCTGACACAAAGTTTATTTACCCTCTTTTACAAAGAAAATAATAAAAGAACCTAATTATTTTATCTGTTATGGCTAGAGGTCCAGCAATCGTATGATTTTTATGTAATTAATGTTTAAATCAATTTGAATTTGGAAACAAAGAGATTGCTTTACTCTCTTCACAACAACCACCTTTAATTCAGCCTTACAATTTATCAACCCTGACACAAAGTTTATTTACCCTCTTTTACAAAGAAAATAATAAAAGAACCTAATTATTTTATCTGTTATGGCTAGAGGTCCAGCAATCGTATGATTTTTATGTAATTAATGTCTTAAAGTTGCACATCTGAAGAATACTCATCATTTTTCATCCTCCTTTAAATATCCTGATCATCACACACCATGATTCAGAGCACTCCCCTACTTCCTCCCACCCCTACTTTTTGTTCTGCCACCACCCGGATTCTACTTTTTGGAACAGTAAAGAGGTAAAGTCTAGCATTTACTGTGAAGTGAGTTTATGACGCTAACTATCTGCCTTATTTGTTTAGGGGACATCCTCATAGATGCAATGGGATCGATGTACAGATACTTGATAAGGTGTATCTTGCTGGAAAGGCCTGCTTTTGCCAGCCTGGAGTTTAAAGATACTCAATAAATTCTATGTTCTAATTTGGGGTCAACATGAAACTTTCTTCACCGATCTTTAGAAATAATTCAAGAAAGACATTTGATTTAAAGTGAACTGGTCAGTTGCTGAAAGTTTTTTAGAGGGTAAAAATAGGCTGGATATACAGGAGCAACATAAAAGTGGATGAAATTCCCATCGCTAGTTTCCTCTGGGAGAAAGCAGTCCAAAAACATGGCACGTCAGAAAGGTGTAAATAAGAAAGGCGTAAATAAGAAAGACAAAGAGAAAAAGAAAGAAAATCAAAATTATCTGAGCTTAAAGGTGGCATCACATTGAGTGTGTCAAATTCAGTCTTCAGTCAGGCCCCAGGCTGTGAGGCACTCCAGCAGGAAGCGAGAAAGCATGTGGCCCTGCCGTGTATAAATATCAAAGTACGATTCCCTAAAAACAGCATTTTTACTGCCGAGCCAACTTGTAAAAGCATCCACTGAACAGCTCTCCCAATCCAACACACAAGAATCTGACAAGCTATTAACATGTCAAATAAAAGAATATGCTGACATCCACAATTTTGTAGATGGCTAGGACTATAAAAGCTTCAATTAAAGTCAAGTCTATATTTAAAGTTTCTAATTAATAATGAGACCTCAGTTTCAACAATCTATAATGACAGGACTTGCAAATATATCGGCTTAGTTTAGTGCAATTGCTTGGATTTTTTGTTTGTTTGGGTTTGGGGTTTTTTTGTTTAAAAACTAAGTCATTTATGGAGTGGTTGTATCATCTTTACCAGTTAAGACGATTTACTGGCAATGACAAGACTAGTCTTTCAGTTTTTGTTTTGGAAGCCTGTTTTTTGCTACCTATTATTTTGCTTTGGTTATTGGTTTACAATTGGAACAGTGTGCTGCCAGTACTTTAAGCAAGGAGTTGCTCTGTTCCCTGAGAAAACTGTGAACAGCTGAGCAATTGGATTTCAAACCCTGAAGTTACTTCTGAGAAGCAGCACTGTGAATCCCATGCACAAGTCAAGAAAGAGTGAGTTAGCAGTATTCAGATTTGGGATGACTCCTACAGGCAGATGAATTAACTCCACCTCTTCTTTTAACGTGGTGACGGAATTGCATCAAAACCTTTTGAAAGCTCACCAGATTTTCCCCCCATTATAAAGTGAAAAGGGCAAATGACGTGGTTTTGTTAAAGGACGTCCTGAAGCCCTGCACGGGATTTGATGCTGTGTATCTGGCCCTCTGACAGCCATTACACAGCTTAATGCTGAGACCCTGGGCTCAAAAACTTCTGTCAACTAGGTCTGCAAATACATCTATTTATGCTTAGTGTGACTGCTGATTTAAACAAAGGAAAACAATGGTCATCCAAAGCTGGAAAACGTGGCTACAAATATTGAAAGTGACAAAATTTTTTAACATGATAAAATGAAACAAGTTTTGGTGTTTGTTTTTTTATTTTAATTTCCACCCATGTGAAACAATGCTTGGAGAGTCTGAAGGACATCTTAAAATGAGATCTTATATACAAAAATAAAATGAGAAAAACAGCCCTCTAAAATAGTAGCCATGAAATAGGTATGAAGGCTTCTATTAAAAAAATACAGTGTAGATGTACTTATAAGATCATCTTATGGAATGTAAATGTGATCAATGCTGCTAATAAAAGGAGATTTTTAACCACTCAGAAAGAATGGAGGTGACATGATTTGCCACCAGGAGATGAATTTAATAACAGTAGAACATACCAAACTCTGTGAGGGCCCCGTTGGGGAACTGCAAGCAGTTTTTCATTAAAATACAGAGGAAAAAAATGGGGGATTAATGAGAAAAGAATTTTCTACTCTAAGTGGAGAACGTTGTGCTAACAAGTTCTCCAGGGCAAGAGACAGGAGACAAGCCATAAAAAAAAATTCTTCCGTGTTTGTCAGCGTTCATTCTCTATTTTTCCAAAGTGCATAGATACCAAGCTCACTAAACACAGATATAATATTCTGTGATTCCCTCCAATAGAACTTAAGATAGTTTATAGGATAGTTAAACATAACTTACAGCATAAGCAATCAGCATAAAACATAATGCAAACTTTCAACTGCATTTATTAAATGAAATTCAAGGATAAAGAACATCTTACCTCTTAATGAAATCAAAGACTATGGCTGCATTAAGTGTTTTGTTTGAATGTTAAAAAGATTATGGATTGACCTTACACGAAAGTATCTATAGATATGCAAATTCAAAGACACACATGCACTATCGGTACACAACAAGCAAACTAGGCAGCCTAGATCTTAAGGACAGGGCAAAACTAGTAAAAGTACTGGTAGGGCAATGGCAACCTAATTACAGTTGCTAGGCCAGAACCTTTCTGTCTTGCCTTATTCATTAAATCCCTAGCAAAACAAATGAGAGTTAATGGGAAAATTGTTGGCAATCAACTGGAAATATGAAGTGTCTTGCAATGATGATGTCTCATTCCACCTCACCCACCTTTTAACATCTATGCCAGAGGGGATATTATAATAGGATAGGCTACATATTGCATCAAGAGAAAAAAATGAAGTACAGAAAACAGAACTACTCTCAATAGGATTAGTCCTCTTTATCCCATAAATACAAGAAATCACCCTCCTTTGTTCCAGTGTACACTGAAAAAACCCCAAATACCTAAAGTTCAAGTTGCAGCTGTTTTGGAATCCCTGATGACTTTTTGTTTTGTTTTGTTTCTCTTTCAAAAATTTCTGTATAGAAGCCCCAAGTGACTAAAAAGGCACAAGGTAACCGATACAAGATTATTCTTCTGTGAGAATGTTTTCTTCAGAAAGTGTACTGGGTTTGCATGGCAAGGTTTTGGCAGCAGGTGGGCTACAGGGGTGGCTTCTGTGAGAAGCCGCTAGAAGCTTCCCCCATGTCCAATAGAGCTGATGTCAGCCAGCTCCAAGAGGGACCTGCTGCTGGCCAAGGCCGAGCCAATCAGCGACGGTGGTCTCAGGTAAGACTTCCAGAAGAGAAACTTTGCTTTGTGTATAAAATGACAGTGATTCATTATCTTCCACTCAGAAAGAGCCTGTCACCTAAACAGTATAGAGGAAAGAATGGCTACCGATGAGAGCATGGGACCAATCATGAAAAGGCTTGAATTTTGTTCTTGGCTTTTCTAGGCTGCTTTGGGCAAGTCACCTTCTGACTGTTTCAATCCCTTCTCTGCATTTGAATCATATGTAAGCATCCAAGATTGCTGCCTGTCTTGGTTAAACTTACCCTTTACATTTTGAAGGTGGTCATGTCTCTTTCTTCCCTGTCTAAACAGTCTCATGCTTTTGATCTTTCCTCATAGGTCCTATTTTCTGTTTGATCATCCTCATTGCCCTTCTCTGGACACCTCCAACCAATCCATAAAAATCCGTAACTGCAGTGGCTATAACTGGACACGTTACTCCAGCTCAGGCCTTCTCCCTCTGAAGATGGAAGAGTGCTTTCTAAGGATGCTGAAGTGCACCAACTAGGAAAAAAGGAGAGACTGTGTGAAGGTAGTCTAAGACCTGACTATTTTCAATACCTCTTATGAAAGTCTTGGTGACCAGATGCTAATGTTAAATCATCAATTGTAAGTGTTGCTGTCACCTCATTCGAGCCTTATTTGTGTAGCTACAAGCACCCTTCATAAGCTTCCTTTTGCCTTGCTGTCATCTTAATGTGATGTTCTTTACATGACTTTTTTTGGAAACACATGCAAAAACTAAATTCATAAAACTCTTTTGGCGATATTAGAATCTAATGAGATTGTATTACCTTCTCTTGTGCAGAAATAGTCCAGAGATGGACTACTTCATCTTGTAGTGGCCTCCCATGTGACAGGAGGCTCCTGGAACTGTAAGGGAACAGTGGAAATGCTAATCAACTGCAGTGCCCATAGCAGTGCTTGGAGCCTTTCGTTATATTTTCTCTCCCCTGTCCAGCTGAGAAGGGGAAGTGATAGAGCGGCTTTGGTGGGCACCCAGCCAGGGTCAACCCACCACAGAAAGAAAACCTCAGCCACCCCCCAAGCACACACATTTGCTTCTATTCTAAACCAGAAAAGCTACTCAGCCAGACTGGGTCAGTGAAATAATTTCTGCCATATTTTATGTACATAAATACCAAAACTTGGTTCTTCAATGTACACAACCATCTGGTGCTTCACCACCACCAGAGCATAAAGGATCTCTAAGCGTCTCTACACCTGTCCCCAAGTGCCACAGCACAGCAGGGCTTCTGGTGTAGGACCATTCAGCTTTGCAACTCAACATAGCTAGTCCAGATGTTGGGATCTTGTTTTAGAGCTTACTAGGGTCATTATGACATAAAGCAGCCTGAGCAAGGATCAGAATTTTGACTAATTTATCTTAGGGATAAATCTCAGTCACCTTGAGTTACCTGACATTATGTGTATAAGTTGTCTTCAGCAATTTCATTTTTATGTGCAGGTTTCTCATTAACAACACGTGTCTGCCTTACAACTGAAAAAGGACTAAGGCCTTTTGAGTAATACTGTGGAGAGGGACTTCACAGATGAGGGTACGGTTTTTGCTCTGCCAAGGACATCAGATGTGACTATACAAGTCACTTGGTATTTTTGTTTTAGGTACCTCTTTTCAAAATCCTTCAGAATTTTTGTATAGACAAATTCAAGAATAACTAGGAGAACTTCACCTACTAACAAGATGAGGAGCCATATACAGAAATAAAACTACAACATTTTTTATTTTAGGATTGTTTTATACTCGGCTTACAAATCTTACCATGCTAACTGTTGAAATTAAACAATTGTCTATGCTGAGTACGCATCACCTATGACTTGCTTTAATTTTTTGAGATATAAGCTTAAGTACTTCTGCCATTTCTGAAAAATGTCCGAGATAATACAGCTTGTGCAGATAAGCAGTTCCCATACATTAGAAACAGTCGCCATACATTAGAAACAGTCAGGTTCCCAGTGATCATTTTAACAACTATTATTGTGTGTATAAAGGACATGTAAATAAAATATGAATTCTGAAAAGATAATTGAATAATTTATGCTTTGTAGCACATTCTTAATACTGCTTTTATATTACTAAATTACACAATTTGAAAATATACCACAAAATGTTTCTATTGTAGAATAAAACCAAATAAAAAATACAAACATTTTAGATTAAACTAGCTGTTTTACTCGATTCCATTCAGAAAGGGAAGATGTTACACAAACTGGAGCTTAATCTATTGAAAGCTTCTGGTGCAGTTAAGCTTAGCTTGTCATTTTGTAACTTAATAAAAGATGCATCTGAAAGAGAGTATTGACGCTTCTCACGTACTGACATATTTGAAATCACACCGCTAACACAAAAAACAGTGTTTATCTGCTCAGCATTAAAACTGAATTCTTAACAGTTCAGAATTGTTTTAGAGTCAAAAATGAGAAAGTGTGCAGCTTTGCCCTCACCCCCTTTTGTTTTAAAATGCTTCATTTATAGTGATTTTAATGTAACTTTTCAGACATAGTCATATAACGGATGACATATACCATACCTTAAATGTAGAAAGTCCATAAAGTCTTGCAGTGTGAACAGTCACTTGTGAAATATTTGTAATGTTAGATATAAAATCCTCAAGGTATTTACAGGCTTGTTCCAGGTGTGTTGTGTTTATGATGATTTGAACAAGCTACAAGAGACAAAAAATTCTTGTAAAAATCCTTTTTGTACAACCCATTGTCATTTGATTTTGTAAATGGTTACTTCTTTCAGCAACAACGCTACTAATAATTAATTACAGTATTTCAGGTTACCACCTATTACCTGTTAGTTTTCAAGTTTGCTTTCAAATACCACTAAGGAGTAATACTAGAGTTTACATACAAATTATGCCATTTGAAAAATGAAGACTGCAGACACCTACTCAGTGAAATAAATGCAACTGATCTTTTAGAATTAAAAAAGGGAAAATAAAGGAAGATATATTGCCAAAAGCAAATCACTAATTTGTACCATAAAAATATTTATTTAAAAAGTACTGCTATAAAAAAAAATAATTTCACAATATTGTCTGCAGAATGATGGATTCTGAAGTTAGGGAATTTGAAAAATAAGGTTGTCAACTCCTTTCCCCCGCAACAATGGTAACAATCTGCTTGTACATGATACAAAAGTTTTTATAAGCAGGACCTGCGTTTGCATTCAATTCACAAATTAAACAACATATATAATGTATAGTAACTGCAATATCAATATATTATATCTTAATTCTCACTGCATACTATCTGTTTTAGTGAACACTAATGTAATGCTTGGTAAAATGTTTTCTCTTTTTAACATTTTTCTCATAAAACATATCGACTTGCTAATGAAACACCTCAAAAAATACTAGTGAATTTATTTTCATATCCTTGAAAATATTCCTGTGCCAATTTCAAGAACACAGAAAACTACATCTCAGAAAAATTGTATGGCTTGTCTTACTAACATGGCAATATATGATTTATAGAGCTCTCTCCTCATCATCATCTTTTTGATTTCATCTATACAAGAGGTTCTTTCAGTTTAAAAACAACATTCAATATGACATAAGACTGCTCTAATGGCAACAGTCTAAGTCCTCAGCATGTTTCAGTAGGTACCTGCTGTCTCCTGACATTGAACATTCACTGCAGGTACGTGCAAAGTGATTCACTGTCTCACCCTCTCTTACTCTGTCCAATAAACACATTAAACCGAGAGTTCTCATGAAGAAACAACATGCACAAACCTACTAAAATATATTAATTGCAATTACTACAGAAAAAGTTTCATGTGTTAGAGTGAACTTGAGATTTTAGATTTCTTGATCTGGTAGGTTTACTCTGAAACTACTACTACTACTACAGTTCATGTGAGAGAGATTTTCTCCACCCCCCTTTTTTAATAGGAAGAAAAAGAAACTCAACAACATGCCACTAATTGCTAGACAGGAGCAGAACACACGAACCATGCTCTGTATGCAACCAAAGTAGTAAGTGTCTTTGGCTTATTTCTTGCAAATCTCTGTTTATCATACAGGAGACAGAACTCGTTCATTGTCATCTCTCTCTCAAAAGGCATCCCTGTGTAAATATACTTCCTACTAGACCCAACGCTGTATTGTTATTATTTATGTAACAGATATTGATGCTTTTTTATACTTCATCTTTCACCTCTTTAAATTTTCAATTTTAAAGCAAACACTACTTGTTTTTCTTACACAAATCTTAACACCACAGTATATCTACATTTACAAGAATAGTTTTAGCACTAATTGTCTTAAAAACACAGTTTTGAGTATGTGTTTTAAAACTTACCTCGGTTAAACCTATATGAGGTTTTTTAATTAGGTTCTGTAAACAACTACTTAGAGTTCTTGTAAGCAGCAAATTTGTAGATTTTCTGAGCATATCAACTATTTCTGTTGAGCTGAAAAAAAAGTTTATTTTTATAACTATGCTGTACATGACAACACTTTGACAGTAATACTTAATATTTTTATTTTTTCCCTGCAAAGTGAACTTTTCATGTTAAGAATTTCCTATGTGCATTTAATTTCTGGTTGCTCCAAGTGTCTGTGCTCTAACACACAGAACCCCTCTTTCACTTACCAAATTATCCATTAACTGAATTTCAACACTGAAGAAAAACTTTTTTTTTTTTTTTTTTTTTAGATTTTGGACATGTTTATTGACACAGCAGTTTGGAAAGAGTAATTTGTGGGTTTTAATGAGTTACTGAGGAGGTCAACATGTGCTCATATTAGTACGTAAATTATAAACAGTATCAATTAAGAATGTGTGAAAGCAAGTAATTTACATCTTTAACAGTGTAGAAGTGGGTGACCAGCCATGACTACCTTCCAGATTTCAGATCTATATGAATGTTATTTTATGTAATTAAAACTAAGCTTTTGAAGGCCACAAGAGGAAAGGAAATGGGAGAATTGTGATGTTTTCCATCAGAAAAAGGTGGGATGGAAGAGGGAATGAGCATGCAGACAGCACGTTTTGTTGCAGGAGAAATCATTACTAAGGAAACTCAAAGCACTGAGAAGGGAAAGACCGTCTGAAGCAATCAGGGATGCTACACAATTATTTCCGAAATGGTCAGTACCAAAGTATATTTTTCAAATCTTACATGCTTTGTTAAATAAATAAAATCTCTAGATTACTCAAACCAGTAAATACTGTTTAAAAAACCCCAGCAGTGTTTTAGACTGCTTACCATGCCAAGCTACCTTCACCCATACGGACATACACATATTGTATACAATATATAGAGACACATATGAAATATATGCTATAGCATTGGGAATCATAGATTAAATATAAAGAATTATATATGTAAATTATAGGTAAATTATGAAACAAGCACAGCTAGCAAGCACACAAGAAAATATATTTTCACATTAATATATATTTTTAGGTCACCTGGAAGTTATAGGTAAGAGTAATTTGTGGGTTTTAATGAGTTACTGAGGAGGTCAACATGTGCTCATTAGTACGTGTAAATTATAAACAGTATCAATTAAGAATGTGTGAAAGCAAGTAATTTACATCTTTAACAGTGCAGAAGTGGGTGACCAGCCATGACTACCTTCCAGATTTCAGATCTATATGAATGTTATTTTATGTAATTAAAACTAAGCTTTTGAAGGCCACAAGAGGAAAGGAAATGGGAGAATTGTGATGTTTTCCATCAGAAAAAGGTGGGATGGAAGAGGGAATGAGCATGCAGACAGCACGTTTTGTTGCAGGAGAAATCATTACTAAGGAAACTCAAAGCACTGAGAAGGGAAAGACCGTCTGAAGCAATCAGGGATGCTACACAATTATTTCCGAAATGGTCAGTACCAAAGTATATTTTTCAAATCTTACATGCTTTGTTAAATAAATAAAATCTCTAGATTACTCAAACCAGTAAATACTGTTTAAAAAACCCCAGCAGTGTTTTAGACTGCTTACCATGCCAAGCTACCTTCACCCATACGGACATACACATATTGTATACAATATATAGAGACACATATGAAATATATGCTATAGCATTGGGAATCATAGATTAAATATAAAGAATTATATATGTAAATTATAGGTAAATTATGAAACAAGCACAGCTAGCAAGCACACAAGAAAATATATTTTCACATTAATATATATTTTTAGGTCACCTGGAAGTTATAGGTTACCTTATAGTCACATTCCTGATACTTTAAGCTTACCTGCGGTGAAGTGACTCTGAAAACTTAAGGCTTGCATAAATAAATTCCTTAACCTGGATATAAATCTGAGGCACTGACTGAGACATTGGAAGCTTCTTTGGAAAGGATTGCTGTGAAAATAAAAGATAATACTATCTTACACTTGAAACTGATTCTAAGGAGAGCTTGGTATTAAATGCAACAATTAGAAAGCCACTTAACACTATCAATATTTTAATCTATCTTAAGCTTTTCTGTTTTTCATCAAATACAAACAGTGGCGTGTGTTGGGCTGACTTCTACATCTGTTTAAATAGCTTATAAGCAAAATAGAACTTTATTACTTATTTAAATTACAATGAAGTTTGGAGACTTCATGTAATTTAAGATCCCTCTGTAGAAAGTAATTTACAAACACACATTAAAAAACAGGTCTCAAGCCACTTTTAATCTGAACGAACAAGATAGATGTAAGTGGGATGAGAGGTTCAAAAATGCAAACTTTTTTTTGCCAAAGAAAGCAGTGCAAAGAAAAAAAAAAGTTTTGAGATGTTCAATACATCTGGGGTTTTCAAAGCATCTTGACTATGTTTAGGGATGTGTATTTACTATCATATATTTACTTTCTCTCGATGGCTCACAAAACCAAAGCAGTTTGAATTCATTTCAACAATTTGGATTAACATGTGGGAAATACTAGTAGTCTGCAAGAATAAAATCATGCTTCTTACTTCAACTTTAAAGCTGATATTGTATTTGGGAGGACAAAAAGAAATACATTCAATTAAATCTACACATACCAAATAGATATTTCTGCATTGAATACATAATTTTTAAAATCTGCAAAGCAATTAATTTTCTGTTTATTCTATGACTAATGCATGAGAAAAATAATCAACAACTGGTATCATCCCTGGAGAATTCCATTTCTCTTAAAAAAAAAAAAAAGCATTAATCAACAGCAGCTCAACATTTGTGTATTAAAAAAACCAAGACAAAACAGATTACCTTGACATTCTCTTAATTGTACCTCTTTATTTAAGATTAGGTGGTATGACAATTATGTGGTGTAAGTGCCAGGCTTTCATATCATTCAACAGCGATACCAAACATTTTTTTAACAATAAAATTTACTTCAAATATGTGTTCATCTGATTTAAGCAACAAATTTTTACAGATAAAACAAGTGGTATTACATACAACTATTTTGGATCATTACAATATTCTGTCAGCAGGGCTTGAGTTTCAACCTTCATATATTCAACAATCTAAGAGAAGCAATTCTTTATCCTCTACAGTGTCTGGCCAATACAGGAGGACACAACACTTTCTGTCTGCTTATTAGACTAGGCAGCAAGAAAAAAAAAAACAGATACAAGCCAATTGTTTCACTTCTGAATACAGAAAGGGAGTAAAATTAGATGATATAATCAAACCATGATAATTTGGCACATTCAATCTAAACAGAAGAGTGCAGACAAGACTGTTTTGTCCAGTCAGATTGGATTTGCTATGTTAAGTATCTAGTAGGTTCTGGTCATAATTCTGCCTAATGTGCTGCAAGCAACTCCTATGATAAACTTACCTGTAAAATGTCAGGGTGATTCATCCTAACCTACAGTTAAAAATGAGACACTCACTCACGTTCGTCTCTTTCTATACTAAATGGAGAAATACAGACATTTTCAAAGATGAAATTCCCCTTAATCTGTAAAAGGCATCAGAGATGCATCAAATGGAATTAGCCCTCTGGGGTGTCTATTCCCCTCTGTCAACTACATAGGCTCCTTCAGCAACTAGCCTGAACTTACACATCTTTTTTTTTTTTTTTTTTAAACCTCAAAATGTCAAAATGTAGATTAAATTTCTATTCACCCAATAGGATGTCCTGCTGCCTTATAGCCTGAGGCAACAACAGAGAGATGAAGTGGATGAGATTATAAACAGCAACCAATAGAAGTGATGTTGGAGCGTTTATAAAGTTTCCCCTCCATGTGGATTCCCTGCTATCTAATAACATATAAAGTAACACTGCAGTCTTTCTTTCAACAGGGATACTTAACGATTCTTTCTCCTCTATCCCACTTGCCTAGTTGACAAAACTTTCAGGAACTCCATTATCTTTTGAGACTTCTGCTCCTTTGCTAAATTTGGTTGAAGCCAACTAAACCGCTTCAAAAATTGCCAGGACACAATAAAAAATCTCAGACTGCCTTATTTCTAATCATGCCCTTCTGCTTTACATACAGGTTTCAAAGCTCTTTTCACAGATATGTAAAAAAATGTTATCCCCGCTTTACAGATGAATTAACAGGGACAGAGAGATGTGAAGTGACTTCCCAGCACCACGCAGCTGGTCAATGATAGAGTTGGGAACAGAATCCAACCTGATTCCCAGCTTTACTCTCAAGCTCACCAGCCCAAAAACTAAGCATCAGTGAGATTCTGCCCATAAAATATCTACAAAAAGTGCTGCTCACTATGAAATAGAAATCCCTCTCTGTGTCATAAACCAAACTGAAAATTGTTGGGTACAGAGAAGACATTTCCCTTCTGGTGAAATAAGAGCCAAAGCTTTGTATTAATCATACGTATATGTAACTACACGTGCCTACACAAGTAACGTCCACACACACATGCTGATACATCAGACAGAGTGAGAGAGGCTAGCAGATAAAATTATTTAGTGCAAGTTAAAAATCTCTGCAATTTATTAGCAAGATATGTCATGCTAAATAGTACCTGGGCTGTGTTATACTTCCAACACTGTAAGGGATTTCCATTCTGTTTATTTTAGTATAAATATAATATTTTAGTATTATAATGGCTAAGTAAACGAATTTGATGGAGGAAAGCATCCAGCAAGCACTCTGGAGTCTTACTCAAAAAATCAGCATAAAACCCACCTTTAGTTTTTCATCTTCACTGCAATACTGTATTAATGACATGCAGCTGTTACATTTGCCTGGTAAATCCCTGCTGAATCACAGAATTAGAGTATCTTTTTACTTTTGCAGATATGTGTAGTGATGGATCATGTATAAACCAGCTTCCTTCTACAACAGTTACTCCCACTGTCACGTGGTTCTTAGATTTAGTTCCCCTCTACAGACTCCAACATGGGCCTGTTATTTCTTCATCGGTGTTACCAAAACCATGTTTGAAGAGCAGAACATATTAATCACCTTTCTGTGAAAGGAGTTTGTAGTGAAAGAATGGCTGAGGCTATGAAAGAATACCCTATCGGAATGCTAGTATGGCAGAATTACTTTGTCTTTTCATGTTTATTTTGCCCCACATGCTCAAACACAAATAATTAATTTTAAAAGTGAAATATGAAAGTTGCTGTCTCTAACAGATCCCTGTTTTACACGTATTTTTGCAATACTACAGCATATAATATACTATGAATTACTAAACCCAATGAGTTGCAACAAAATTTAACTAAAAGACAGACTGTATTATAATTACATAAAGACTGTATCAAAGTGTATTATTAATTTGTTTACAAAAAAATGGGTTTCATTATTCACTCCAACATCAGAGCAAATGAATTACATAAATCAAAGTGTATTATTAATTTGTTTACAAAAAAATGGGTTTCATTATTCACTCCAACATCAGAGCAAATGACTAAAGCTTTAATTTTCATATTTATTTATGACTAGATAATTACACACAAAGAAGGTGATTTAGCCTCTTAATCTACCTAACTTTTCAAATTTTAATTGCTTTTTAATTATAAAAATCATTACTGTCCCAAGTGTCCTTAACTGGATTTCGACAAACTTAAAACTTTTCCTTACCTTATCAAGTTCTGGATCTTGAAAAGGAAATTTGCTTATAACTATTTTGTATTCCTCTTCATTTGCTACAGGAATAGGGCTGTAGTTGTCCGCTTCAAAAATATCCCTGGTGAATTAGTTAGTAAAGTGAAAAAAATTTAGGACATGTATTTACAGTATTTTCCAGTGTTAAAACATGTAAATGAATATAAATTTTACTACCGCACTTAGGTGTGCAGCTTCAGAAAGTTATGAGATGCAATCATCATAATTTCAGACATCCAAACTATTTTTAGATGAATTTGAAAGTACCTTGTATATGCTAACTCTTTATACTGTGTCTAATCACAGAGAAAAAATAGCTGAAAGCGTTTTAATATGTATGACTCAAAGCATACTACAGCAAAGGAACTTCAGATCAACTAGTCTACTCCAGGGTAAACCATAATGAGATACCTATTAATTACAGTAGCCTACACTTTGCCTACACTAAAGCAGATATTCAGAGTGTCTCACTTAGGTACCACAGCTGCATATAGTCAATAGAGATGATTCAGAGAATTTTAACTAGGCATATGGCCACAGTGTTAAGTACCCTCTGGACTTTTCTACTCGTCGAATGACTATACTAGGAGTCTAGAGAGCTTGAGAACCTTAAGTGGTCAATTTAATTTTAAGGTTTTCTGTAATACAATGTACCATATTTTATGGTAAACAATTTCTGCACATTTAGACATCACACCCTATCTGCAAACAGGCTTTGGAGTACAGTCCCCGGCTGCCGTATTCCTGGGTTTACAATTTACTCAATCAAGTGATTCCAAAGAATAGGTGGAAGCCAACCTGCATTAAAAAAAACATGAAGACATACTGGCAATGTCAGTAGTCTGTCAGGGAGATACGCATATCAGCTAACTGTAAACATTAAGACAACCTAAATCAGGAACCTAATGCCCTATTGCAATAGCCTAGAGTTATTAGGTTCCTAATGAAGAAAAACAGACATCTCTCTCCCGTATGTTTCTCCAATAATGTCCCTTTGGAGACCTTCCTTCTCTCCATTAACTACAGAAGCAGTACTCGATGGCTCTTCTCCTAAATATTAGTTACATGTGATTAATATCTTAGTCCTGTCCAACCCAAAATTCATACACAATACTGAGTTAATCAATTCTTCCAGAATTACAACTCTATCAAAACAACTTGAAGTTAGACAAAACCAATAGATGCAATACAAAAGGCACAATTATTTTGAAATACTAACCTGAACAGTCCAGACCACTTTTTAAGAAGTGTTTCATTGTACTGGTCTCTTATCTCAAATAAAAGATCAAATAGTCGGTTCACAGGAAAACCATAGCCCTAAAGTATAAAAATGAAAAGGATGGATAATTCAAGAACTAATACACTCAGTTCCTATCACATCACTTCAGGACTCTGAGATGAGACTTATTATTCAATCTTGTCACTTCTATAAAACAAATTATAGTACTGTAAACACACCACTATAATTAGAAGATTATATATCAAATTCTTACCAAATACTTTATCCTATGCTTTCGGTTTTCAAGCAGAAATTTGTCCCATTTCTCTATAACATTTTAACTTGCTATTTATGCATATAACTAATCTTTTTAATGAGTCTGTTAAACATTGCAAGAATACTTGCCAATGACGTTCATTTGGTCTTTCAGCTAGAGAGTTAATGATAACTGGAATCCTATTCTTGCTAAAGGTCAGAAGTAAAGCATTTATAAGAGACAAAAATGTACACAAATTACAAAGCTAACATTAATTTTGCACAGATATGAATAACTGGATGCTAGCTGGATAGCCCAGAATGCATACATTAGCTTGATTCATATATAAGATTCAGGAAAACCCAAAGCATTGCACTTACTCACCTAAAGAAAAAATTTGACTGTAGGAATTTCAGTTAAATTATTAATATAATATGTACCTGCAAAGTATCAGCAAATACTACAATGAGATTCTTCAGTTCCAGAACAAGGTCGGGATCACTGCAATATGACTGAAAGTGAGAAATTCAGGTTTTGTTAAAAGGATTTAAAATATGGGACATATGTTTTCAAAGAATATTAGCACAGAAGGTTAAACTCTCCAGCCTTATCCCTTTACTTGACTGACTGCCTTAGTAAAAGACAACTTAGACTCACTTGTCTTCACTTAGTTCAGCTACATAAAAGTATTTGTTATATTTTTACATGAACTATCAGTAGTATAAAAGCTCAGAAAAAGTAAACTAAAATATGAGATTCAATAAACATCAGTATGTTGTACTGAGATTCAAAATCAGCAAATTACATTTATTTCAGCGGAACATAAGCACACATCAAAATGCTTTGGTAAATCAACATCAGAAAGGTTTCCACAGGACATTCTTTTGAACACTAAGCTGGGTCTAACTAGTGCTAACTGTGCTACCCCAGACAGTACCCCAGCTGTATGGGGAAACACTATTAAATACTTTCTAAATAAATTCAAATTATAAATTTGATGGTAAAAAGTCAAGACATTAAGTTATTTACTAAATGACTAAGATTTGATTTTCAGAGGTGTGGAGTCATACAACTAAGGCTTTCACCTCAGCTTCACTATTTGCAATACCGGATAAAGTAAAAAAATATTTATATTAAAATAATTTAGAGCAGCATGAGAATATAGTATTGGTTAGACTATATACGCCTGTTTCACCTTTCTTTTAATTTTTGCTCTTAGCTTACTTTAATAAAGTAAGGGTTTGGTTTACAATACCTCATAAGACAATACACACTTATCTAAACATTAGTATGTACTAAGATGATGTTAGAAAGAGATTATGATAGAATTGATTTTGATGGGAGTTACCCATTTTGCGAAGAAATAGTGATCAACTACATTACAAGATATTGAAGAGTTCTTTAGAGATTACATTACTTTTACTCCTTAAATTACCATATTCTTACATAGGTGTATAAATCCATACGCAGCCAATTAACTTGCAAAGTATTTAGCTTAAAAAAATGCTGGATTTATCTCAATTTATCCTAATCCTCTAAAATGAATTAAAAAGTATGAGAACATCTCATGTACCACTGATCAGTAAAGGGCCTATGATAAAACTATAGTTGCAATCTGACCTTTTTCCCCATTTTTCCTCAGTATATATGAAACGTAAAATATTCCTCAAATTAAAGACAAATCGTAATAAAAATAAAAATAACATTGCATAAAGGAACTGCTTCTAGCAAACATTAAGAAGGGAAAGATAAAACTCTTCTATTTTTTCCAATAGTAAAAGTTGTACCAATAGTAAACTCTGAAGCAATTTACTATCAGTCAGTCTGAGTGAACAATGGTATTCCATTGATTTTCACAGAGGAATAAGAAATAGCATGCAGCTATTCAGCATCACTGGAGCTAAGGTAGAAATGTAACTTTAGGAGACACACTTTGAATGTACTGAAATACTCAGTTGATACAGAATTACATTCTAACATCTGTGAAGGTTTTTCTAATACCTTTACTTCAACATAAACATATTACTACTATAGCCTGAAGAGAGAGCTCCAAGGGTTTTGCTGGTGGAGTTTATTTTGGAAACACAGCATTTGGAATGATAATTAGGAACTATTTCCTGGTGGTGCTTTCAGTGCCGAACTATTCAATCTGATCTAATGAAGAGGTCAGTTGAGACTAATGAGGAAGGATTGCAATAATAACAGCAGATTAACTCTGCATATTCTAAACTGCCGGACTAAGAGAAGGTTTGGAAGACCCAGTGAGTTGTAAATCAGTGGAGGATTATGCAAATAGCCCATGGCTGCGGATCACAGCCTGACACTGTTGGGAAAAACAAAAGCTTGGCAGGCTCCCTCCCAAATCTGAGCAATTTTTAATCACAAGGAAAAGAAAACATGAGAGAGGTGTAATTTTTCACTTTGTTACTATCCCAGCTTTAAATATACAGAGCTCTGAAGTAAGAGGATTTAAACTGCAATACTGGTAAGACTTCTCACTTACTGAATGTGTTCTTAGAACAGCAATGATCTTGGAAAGGGCCATGTTCCAGAGTTCATCGGTATATGTTCTAGTTACCAGTCCTTGGGTTACATGTAAAATGTGGTCTTCTACTACAAAGAAACTAAAACAAAATAATGCTTAAATTATTAAGTTGTTTTCTAATATTAGAGCAAATTCTACCCTTTCACACTCAAGCATAGCCAAACCCCTTCCCACTCAAGCAGTGACATTTTGGTAGGTTTGGTGTTCTGCTTTGCCCAGCATGAAGTCAAAACGTGAAAAGTTTGTTTCACACCAGCTGGAGCCCAGGCTGCTGGAGGGTCCTTGTGGGGCACCGTACCGGTAGGACCTGGATGCTCTTCCCCGCTCAGACCCAGCAACAACCACCCGCAGAAACTGAATCTTGCAGAAGAAAGTTTTTGGACAACGGGAGAACAGAGGGTGAATTAAGAATCAATATTGTAAAACTGAAATAAATCTCTGTTTAGAAAAAACTTACCCTACAATTTGACTGAAGTATCTTCTATAGCCTTCTACTGTTTCATGCTTTCAGTGAAAAAGAAAACAAGTTTAGGAATAAAAATACCACTAAGTATTAGGTACAACCCAAGTCAATGCAAAAACAAAAGTATTGGTTACCATGCTTGACTGCGGCTGCAGAACTAATCTTGCTTGTTTCCTTCTTTGTTTTCTGTAGTAATTTTCAAATATTTCTCCATCACCCTAAACCAAGACAAAAGTAGTTAAAACAAGAACATTGTCTCAGTATGAAAAAAGACATTTCTTAAATTAAGGGTAGAATTCTCTTAAACTAAGCCACATATTTTGCGTTTATTCCACACATAGACCTCCAGCTGACACAAGCAAAGTTTTGCATGCATGCAATATGCAGAAATTATCTTTTTTTTTTTTTTAAGTAGCCTACAGAATGTACTGTAAATAAAAATTTGGCTCATGTGCCTACATTTTGTCAAACAATATTACGCATTTTAAGCGATATTTATGTTTTTAAACTACAGCTTTCAGAGTATATTAATATTTATAGACAAGGCATATAACCTATTAACTCTTAACTGAAACTCCTTGCCTCCTAAAATGGTTCTCTAGGTTATTCAAGAAACTAATCGCATTGTAAAGTTAAGTTACAAAAATGTTTCTGTGACTATATGATACATCTGAACACTGCCTGCATTAGCTTTGTCTGAGAAAAAAAAACCACGAGATTTATTTAATATTTGCTTATTCTCTTTGGAATTGGTAAATGTAATGACTGTGGATTTGGATTTTTCTCCTATCGCAGTCCTCGAAGACACAATACCCTCTGTGCCTCATGATTATATTGTGAGGAATTCAAGTGACATCCTGCCCATCTCATTAAGATGACCATTCAGTAGAAACCATCTGTCCATTTGAAATTAGTGCTACATTGACTCATCTACCTAGTGAACGCAATGTAATTTGTATGCAAGCAGAATAAAGCAACTTAGCATTTTTACGGTTTGTTTTTACCTCATGAGCCTATTATTAGGCCAGCGCTATTTAGAATTCCACTACTTTGGCTTCCAAAAATCTTCAAACCAAGTTATTACAGAGATTGTACATTGCTAAGTCAACATTACTTACCTAACTTCTTTATAAGATATAACAAAGAAAGTTTAAATTTACTATTTTAAGTTCATAATGAATATTTAATCAAATTCAGAAATACTACTAACCTAACAAAATCTAAAAGTAAAAAAGAGACTTGGCTTTAAAAAAAAAAATTTGAAACTGAGATGCAAGTTTACTAGAACACTTTCTGTTGCAGCAGAACTTTATACAGTGTGCTATAATTCGTACTAACACATATTGATCAGACATACTAACCATTCACCTCCAGCCCAAATATTCAATGCAGTTTTCAGATGCACAAAGCCATTATTGAATTCTACTTCCAATGCCAAATTTCTACTCAGTCCTGACACAAGCTTCTCAAGTGAAGAAGAGTAGCTGTTCTTCTCAAATCCACACCAAAAATGGAGATGTAAAATATCTCATGATTATTTATAGACCATGCTATCCTATGCAATCAAGATCAGCAATTCAGGCATAACAACTATTTTAAACAGATGTTCTAAAGCAATCAGCAGAATACAGCAACAACCCTGATTATTCACTCACTGAATAAGCAAAGGAAAGGCAAGATAAAATATACCGAAGCAATGCATTTGTTTTGCCCAGCTTCCAGAAGTTCATGAGTTTATATCAATAGAAATAATAAATCAGTTCACGTTGGGTTATAAATTCTAGGAATATTGCTCATATATCAAGTGTTGTTTCACACCATAGTTACATTTATTTTATACTGCTATATAGCATTTAGTTAAAAGGTAACATTACATGCCAAAGGGATCAAGGGTGTTTACAGCAAAATTCAAATATACAGCATCTCACATAATACATGGACTAAAAAAAGCTCTTTATATATATTGCCCAGATGTTTCTAGTCTAAAGAAAGGTTACTCGTCAATACAGTCTTTGGTACTTATGTATCTTGCGGTCACCAGGTTGCAGTTACAAGCTATGTAGTATTCTGAGGTATATAAAATCCCGCTTTCTTCTTCAATATGAAGAAGCAGAGTAGAAAACATTTGTCCTGCATAAAAATACAATATTTTCTACAGTTTTGTAGCAGCTTTGTAGAATTTCTACAGCTTTGTAGAATTCACTAAGAAGGTGACATTTGCTGTGAGATAAGTCCTTGATATAGAAATGTAATGAATAGCCACCTGGCATCAATTCCCTCCTTTGCTGTCATGAAGTTATTCCAAAAGAGATGGTTTACAACAGGAGGTAAACGAGAAGGACTCCAAGAAGTGGTTAATGCAGAACTCTTGATAACACTACTATGGCTTATTAATTAGATGATGTTGGCAGGAAAGACAGAAGCCCTATTCTGAAGAGATCAACAACCCTTTTTTCTAAGGGGCTAAGCACCTTTCCTATCAGAGAGCACTCCAAGTTGTTTCCTGTCTCCAGTAAATTTGGAAGCTGGCAAACTTTCTGTGCAAACCCAAAGAGCATATCCTTGGATCAAGGATCCAACACCAGGATCCTTGTCAAAGTGAAAAACATAATCACATATTACTTTTAAATGTCATCTATCAATTTTACTTTCTGTTCTTTTATTATACTAAAGGAATAATAAGCAGATGTTGTCAACTGGTGTATTTAAATTTACACATTCCTTTTTATATGCTATTTCACACTTATTTCCTCTGTAAAAACAAATGGTCCACTCTTTTTTAATAGTTCCGGCAGCCTGTCTTTCTGTCCCTCCTGTTCTTTTCATCGAGATGGGTAATTACTGATGTAATTATTGATGCTTTTGTTTGGATTCCTTCTTTAAAAAATAAAGTAACAGTGAAATAACACTTTAAACGTTATTTCAAGATAGAAGCTTTCACATTACACAGCTGCAAGGATTCCATAGAAAGAAGATAACCCAGCCTGAATGCTTGAAGCCAGGTCCAGCTGAGATTGTAGGATTAGCAATACTTAAAAGTACTTCATCTATATGCCCCTGATACTTACTCTGTAAGTAATCTGACTTCAAAACTAACTGAGACATAGGAAAGGTGAGAAAATAATAAATAATTTGTTATCAAGTTTCGCCAAAAAAGTTTTCGTCCTTGTTAGCTTGTGCATTATGCTCTTTTACAGCAGCTAAAATGGGCTATTGTGTCTCTGCCATTGAATCCAATCTAATCTGCCTGAGCACAGTTTATCACAATCTCCAGTTTTTGCTTGCTATTTTGCTCTACTATGCTGATTTTCACAAGATTCAGACTGAATATTCCTATGTTTTGTAATATTGATCATAACCCCACAAACATTTGGGTAACATGGAATGCTTGGGGGAACTGCAAAAGTGCCAATACCACTATTGAGGCAGACATGCATATTTTACGTATATTCTTAAGTACACTTATGTAATTAATGTCTTGCTGTGTGTCCTTTATTATGCATATAAAATAAAACATGCAGTTGTGCCCTGAGTATCCATACTCTACCCATCTCAGCTGGTTCATCGAGCACTACTACTACTAGAATCATGTTTGCTTGGTAACTATTAGAGTATGAAAAATACGAAAATGAACATTCAACTTCAAAAAGATATTTTACTTTCTACACCTTAATACATACCAAAACTGAGTAGATGTGCAAACACCTATAGACTGGAGAAAAGTCTACAAGATCTTGAGCAGTTAAAACCTGAAGGAAAGGAAAGGAAAACAGAAAAGTGTATGAAGTATAAAAAACATATAATCTGCAAAATGTGATACATTACCAGCAGAACTTGTCCACTTAATAAACACTTCATAAGACATCTTACTGGTAAGGAATTATCCCTTCCATTTAAATTCTGTTTTAGTGCCCTTAATGTTACAACTGCTCAACCTGGTTTCTTAAAACCTGGAGATTTAGGGGAGAAATAGTAGTTTAGCAGAGTGTGAAGTTAGTAGACTGATGAATCTAAAGTTCAGATGAATATGGAAATACATTGGGGTGGAATACAAAAGCATGACCAAACTGTGACCAGCAAAAGCCAACTCTGTTCACAGGTTTTATGGCTACTAAAACTACTGTTTCCATAGAAAGTGGTAGAAGGAGTTGGCTTTAATGACTTGAAGAGTAACTGCACCGGTCTTTTTGCCAGTAATTTCAGGACCCAAAAATGGACGGGATCTATCACAAAAGAGTAAATTAATTGTTCAAGTCTCCCCTCCCTTTGTATTACAGTACTAGATTTTATTTGTGTTACAAAACCAGGCTTCTTTCACTGTGTTTTCAGAGCACCAGATTTAAAGGTCTAAATACTTGCTGTTTTATTCAATTTATGAACACTGAGTATTTGATAGCTGAAAGAGTTCTAACACAAGCTGAAGTCCTCAACACAGAAATGCTGGCTTTAGCAATAGCAGAATATTCCAGTGGGCCACATATCATTTACAGTGGGCAGGTACTGTGTAATGTAAATTGCAACTGAATTCCTGAATAATTACAAGTTTGAATGTCCCCAAATATGATGCTAAAGCTAGCATTAATACAACTAATATTTTGGCACTATTTTCTCCCCCTAAAATGCTGATCTGGACTGGTGTCCCTTGAAGGTGTTCTCTGGTCCTTCCTAACTAATGTTGACCATCTACAGACATTGTACTGCAAGTTTTGTTCAATAACCCTACAAAAATCACTTTAAATAAGACGTACTGATTAGTGTAAAGTTACCTCTTCTTCATGTTCATCATCTTCTTCAAACGTTCGCTTCAATGTAATTTCGTTCTTGGATTCCAAAATTCTGCTTCTACCTAAATGCATATTCCGACCATAGTTTACATTATTCTGCTTCTGAAGAGCGGTACTGAAGGTTTTCTGCTGCTGTGCCTGTTTTAAAAGTAGTACCAATAAAGATGTAATACAAATTTCATCACTGATGAGTATATGCTATGACATGAAAAACAGGTGGTGCTACTGAACACACATCAGTATAACTGCAAGATGTGCGTTCTCAGCCTACACCGATGATTTTGTCCTTAATCCATTTGGGATGATAAATTAGTTCAATAGCTAATTTCTGCATAATTTTTCCCTAATCCCCAGAATGCAATTCTAAAGGTAGAAAAAATTTAAAAAGTAATCTGTAATTTTCCTGACCATAAATTGCAAACAGAGAATCAATATTTAAATGAAGTACAGTTATTACAGACTTTCAAGCTATTTGTTTGCTGTCTTCAGTTAAGCCTTAGTGAGCAGTCAGCTGCAGAAGCCAAATGCACTATATTGTCCTTACTATTGAAAGAAATGCAACAAGGTAGCACAGTATAATCTTGCGATTAAGTTTCATTTATAATAATCAATGCTGCATTTTACAAGAACCTTAGATGACAAAATGGCAACCCAACCTGAACTCTTCCCAACAAAAAGTCAAATGAAAACTTTAATGCTGTCCAAATAAATTTTAAAAGCATTAATTGCTTTAAAGCTTGCCCAATACCGGTGCTTTGAAGTGGCAGATTATTTTGTGATGGAACAGGCAAGGGCTCCAGCTGTCCCAGTCTCATCCTGGCTCTCACCTCAGTCCTCTGCCCTCTCTCCTCTGTAGTGTGCCCTCTCTGGAGGGTAATATGCCAATGCCATGCCCTGTATTAGTAGTACTTTAGGAAGAACTAGGCATTATCTCCACATTTCTTTTAGTCTTATTCGTCCTTGCCGGCTGGCCAGATGGGCTGCTCTTTGTTCTGGTGTAGTAGCTGCCGAGTTACAGACTGCCTAGGAGTTGACTACTCAACGTATTTGACAATTTTTTGCAACTTGAGATATACAGCATTTCGCCTTTCTTTCCCAGGGAGGAAACTACTTCTTGTCTAGGACACAGATACAAATTTGGAAGGAAAGTCTGATGGTACTGAGGTGTCACGCTGCTTCTTGTGTTAGCCAGGGACCGCTAGAATTGACAACTTCATGTCCAGGAGAAGAAACTACCCAAGGTGTTAGCTAGCAAATATTTCACAGCTCTCTATCTTTACTCAAAGGTCTATGTGATGACTACAATCCTTAGACAAATCTTCCGGGCTAACCTGAGACTATCGACACTGATATTTTCAGTAGATAACAGGACGGAAGTCATCCTGTTAGGTTGGCTTACCTGCTTCATGGCAGTTTCCCCAATTCTGTCAGAATGCTTTCGAATACTCTCTAAGAAATCCTTGAGATCTGACATGGATATTTCTTTTATTTCTTCACGCAGTTTTGGAAGATTTTCTATCATTATCTGGCAAAAACGGTATTGGCTAACTCTAGGAAGATATAGATTTTCTAGCTGTTCCATTGTTTTTAAAGCAGAATAGTATCTACAAAGAGATTAAAATCAAATTATGTAGCTTATCAAATTTTAATAAAATACTTTATCAAATATGGGATATCAATACCATACACGCAATCGATATATATCGAATGAAATTACTCTGTTCTTAGAAAAATTAAGAAACAAAAGGTCATCCATATAATGCTTTAGTTTGGAAAAAAACAGTGAACTGTCAGAGTGACCCAGTCAAGGAAAAATTTTAAGTAGGCTCCTATAGTATTAGCTGTTCTGAACTACAGATTCCTAACACCACACAGAGCATCTTGCAGGATGGAGGCACTGAAGTCATAACAATTATCTTCCCTTCTAGATTGAATTTATCAGGGTTTTTTGAGTTCTTTTTTCTGAAACACAAATTGACAATCACCCAACATCGCAGTATATGCACCAAACAATGAAAAAAATCTTGGAAAAGTGTGCCTATATGTATCTGCCTTCTTTAGGTATATGTGAACGTACACCCCACACACACCCCCACCTCTTTCCACCATCCTTAGCTGGAAAAGACTTGTGTACACTTATCTCAAGCAATATTTTTTCTAGCAGTATATCATATTTTGCTGTAAACCTTGAATCTATTTACCCTTCTGACAAAATACAGTATATGCCACCAAGAAAACAACTACTTTGAACAAGCATTAAGGTCAGAGGGTTTTAAAAAACCAAAACAACAAAGACTCCATAATTTTCTCTATTCTTCTGTGTTCTGTTAGCCTACAGACTATTTGTAGCAGAAATATGGAAGATACAGCCTGAGAGGGGGAAAAAACAAAACACCAAGAAATACTTCCTCTCATGCCCATACACTATGCAGATGTTGTACAGTACATTCATAACCATGTTGTGAAATTTTACATAAGGGACAATGAGTTTAAAGAAATACTCAAGTTAAAACTAAGCGTAAAAAGTTATTTAACTGCAAAATAAATAAAAATAATAAAGACTCAAACAATTTTGACAACAGAAAGCTACCAAATACTGAGACATCAGCTCTACCTATTACTACAGTTATTTACCTGTCTTCACTCTCAGTTCTCTCATAGATTACATGGGTTGAGGGGCCAAGACTTACTTGCTAAAACCATTTATCAACTTCAGGCCTGTAGCATATAAGTAAAATTTTGATGCTTTCAGTTGATTTAGGGAAACATTTAAAGAAGGAAATTTTAATTAAGGGAAATTGGTTTTCTATGCTTCCTCTTATAATCAGTAGAGAGATGAACACCACAAGGAGGTGATTCAGAGCTGAGTCAGGCTCCTATATGCCTGTTCCTGAAGTCAATACCCTTCTCTATTTTATTTTCAAATGTCACACAGGCTCCTAAGGCAGAATGCTTGTGAAAATTTTTACTTTATTGAAAAGATGAAGGAAAATAGAAGTGGGCCAATTCTGGGATAGACAGCTAAACTAAGAAGGCAAGAAACAGAAACACCATGATCAATGAATCTATGATGTCAACAACATTTTAAAGAGTGGTGCAGCAAACAGGTTAAACATGAATAGGACAGCAATTAGTTATAGATGTGACAATAATTTTCCTTTACACAGTATTCTTACCAGCCACTCAGCCCAGAAGGCTTTTGGAAAAATGCATTTAGTTTGGCCTATTATAACAGAATAAGGTGAACCAATGCCTTCTAGCTTAGTCTTGAAAGGGAAAAGTAGAAAAACTGAGATCAGACTGAGATAACTTGCTGTTAGTTCCAAACCTTTCTTTCCACAAATACAGAGTAATAGCCTTAGCCCATTTTTAGCTTTTCGTATTATAACCTTAGTTCCTTTTTCTTCCTGAAAGCCCTACACAATCAGTATTGGAAAATTACCAAATCATTTTGAAAGGGAAAAGCTGAAAATGAGCAAAGTCCCTTCAAATGTTCAAGAAAACCTGGAAAATGACCTTTCCAGTTCTTTTGCTTCTGCATATTGCTTTGTAGATATAGTGAGTGAACACTTTCAAACTGAAATACAATTCAAGCTGCTGGCTCCCCTTCTGTAGACAAGCAGTAATAAATTATTAATACTTCAGTCATAACTTCTTGTTCCATTCTGAAATAAACACGTTGTTTTGAATTTTCTCAGTCAGGACATTTCTAAGCTAACAGTTCAGCATAGCTGGAGGATGGGAAAAATCTCTTTTATTCCAGAACACAACTGCTTTCAGGATACTGCAAATAAAGAGGTTTCAAGTGTAAATTAGGAGCTTTTGTTTATTATATACTTGGTTAATATAAAATATACATAAGGCAACAGGAATGTTGCAGATAAGAAGGAGTCTGGGGGTTTTATGTGTGTGGTTTTTGTTTTTTTAAATAGTAAATGACCAAGAGTGCCACATGGTGAGACTTCTGGGGAATAAAACCATAATAGCATCAAAATCGTATAAAAGGTTTTTATTTAAATTATATGGATCAGCTTATCAAAACACTGTTAGTTCATCTGGAAGGTTTTTGACTGCTGTCTCTAAGATCAGAATTAACATAATCCATTCTAAATCCATTCTAGAGTCCCTTACTAATTATATATATATGGAGCTCAGGACCTTGCCCTTTTCACATCTGTTCTGATAAAGCACGGAAGTCTTATTAATTTGAAGGTCACCCACAGGTCAGGATTTAAACTAAAAAGTTTTGCATATCATTTCATGGAATGATATATTTGTATATTTTGCTTTAAAAACATTCCATAGATTTAACTCAATGCTGAAAATTTTGACAACAATATATGATGGGAACTAATAATATTATCAATCATATAAGGTAAAGATTGTCCATTTGACTATAAATGAGTTAAAGAAGTACCTTCAACTTTTTTTTTTTCATATAAATATAGCAGTCCTCTGTGTCTATTCTTCCGAGCTAATCTTGTAAGAATGTGTTCCCCAATGTAAAATTTATAACGTAAGCTTTGAAATTGAAGATACAAGTTTGAAACACCAATAGAGGTCATATGATAAGACTATCCATCCATCCATCTTGTCATCAGAACCAGAAAACTTTAAGATGGATTTTACTAACATCTCCAAACTATAAAAATGGAAACTTCTAAAACCAGCAAGAAGCAGGACTGGGGAACACACACACCCCACCCCCCCCCAAAAAAAAAACAAAAACAAAAAAACACCAAAAAAACCACCCAGAAGATTTTTGTTTTGCATCATCATATTCTAAAATTGAGCTGGCGTTTTACAAAATGGCCAAGTCCCAGGCACAGAGTAATCAGGTCTGTATTAGAATTTGAAACATGAACACACAAAAAATCCAAAAGAAAAAGAAAGTGACCATTACCTTAGTGTACACAAAGCATTAAGTTATGTTTTAAATGACAGAGAGAACTTTTAAGATTTTTATCAGCAGAGTGTCATTTGGAGGCAGTTAAGAGAAATACCATAACTTACTAAAAAAGCCCCATCAAGTTAAACTAGAGCAGTCAAGAAGCTACACAGGACAGGAGCAAGATGAACTCAAAAGCTGTGAATTTTACTGAGAATAACACATTTGTACACAAGCCTTTGAATAAAGAAACACGTAGTCATGTCCCAAAATTTTCTGCTGAAAAAACCAAGAGGAGAGACAATAACCTTAAAATTCTCATTTTAGTTTAATTAAGGAAACAAACTTAATTTACAAAGAAAAAATAGTGTTGTTCTCCAATTTTTGTGCTTCTCTCAGAGGCAAATACTGTATATTCCTGCATACTACATTTCCATTAAGTAAATGTGAAAAACTTTTGTACTCTACCAAACAAATTTAAGGGAGTTAATCAGAATTTTTCAATAATACTGTGGAAAAGTCACATTCACAGAGATCCTGAAGATGATATACTGAAATGGCAATTGAAAACCTTTCACCACAGCAACAACTATTTATTTATTTTGTTTTTAAATCTAGTTGCCTTAACAATTCTAAACCTAATTTGTAAACTTCCCCAGCATACCAATTTTATCAGTTGCCCCAAAGGACCACAAACTGAGATCAAGGCACTACTAACTCTGAAACTTCTGTAAAGTGAGTCAAAAGCTCAGTATTTCTGAAAATCAGATTAAAGAGTTGCTGTGCGAAATAAACAAGATCTGTGGAATACCTTTTTCATCCATAATGATGTGATAGGAGATTTTTTTTTTTAAATAGAAATTATTGAACAAATAGGGTTGTAAGAACAGTGAGAAAGAAAGCAGCTGACAGTTCAGTATCAAATATATATTTTGATGGGTTTTTTTGCCAGATCCATGATACCTCTGGGAAGTATTGATTTGCAGTTGGTAAAATCCAATGCTTCATTTTGACATGGTTCTAAAACAATGCAGAAAACCAGAATCAAATCACCAGCAGTTTTATCTCTTCTGATACCTTTCCATACAGACATGGGTAGAACAAAATTATATAAATTATGAAGTTTTCCTATTTGCATCCTTTATGTCTTCAGGTTTATTTGAATGCTTGGAAGGTTTATGAAGAAAAAGGCTGCATGACTGTCTCAGTGAGACTTAGTAACCTAAATAACTAATCGACTCTGTCTTTCCCACAGTTCGGAAGAAAGCTTATAGTAAGGTCAGAAAACAAATCCAAGTCTTTCAGGGCAAAAAGCTCACTCTGAAAGACCATACTCTTTCTTTAGTCCTCACAGTAGATTCAAGAAGATTCAGCAACAACCTTAGCAGATTGATTTATTTAATTATTTTCATTGTATGGTGGGTTTGGGGTTTTTTTTGTAATACTCACTGTGAAAGAACACTTGCAAAAACACCAGTTCTAACAATTTCCAATTAGACCACAATCTCTTGAAGCAGCTGGGAGAGAGTGTCTCTCTCCAGAGACACATATCAAAATCCAAACACACAGGCCATGATAACAGAGCTGTATAAAATGTGTGATGATCTTATCTCCAACTTAAAATTAAAGATCTAGGTAGTTCAGTCTAAATGCATAGCCCCCACTAGGTGTTTTGGAGAGGAGTGGAGAAACTACACCTCTCCCTTGTGCTTCCTCAGCTAAGACTTTAAACGCTCCATAACTCTTTCCAGCCAATTGTGTCTGTTTAGAGCAGATTCCGCAGTTACTTCCTCTCACAACTATAGTTCTTGTCAACTTGTGTTATGCATGGCTCAGGAGACAGACAAATAGGATACAGAGCCTTTCACCTCTAGGTCATCAGTTCAAACATAGCCCATGTTCATAGGGACCAAAAGTTGTTATCAATAGATGGCTTTTTGGACTCCTCAGTAAACCTCCATTCCATCCGCATAAACCAGTATGTACTCCAGACCCCAAATCCTGCATTATCTTAGAAGATGTCTGCCATGGAGAAAAGGAAATGGAATTCCAATCTTTATCCTAAAACAACTGTCCCCCAAAAATATAGAATATCCACACTTTCTTCTTCCTTTCCTTTAAACATTAGAAATTCATAGTGCAAGACTGTAAGACAATGGAATAATGAAAATATATTCTAAAAGGCTGCAAGCAGAGAAAGTCAAAAGAAAAGAGGTCTTTTTTTAAAAGACCAATGAAAGCTTTGCTGCATTAACAAACCTCAGTGAACGTTTATGAGACAAATTATCTTTGCCTAAAATAAACATTCCTCATTGTTTTGTTAAGACAGGGACTGTGAATGCTCCTCTCTCTGACTCTTCCAGGAAAGCTTCAAAGCAAAACTTAGGAAGGTCAGTTTTGAAATTCCTTGTACCTGCACACATCAGCTATCAGGTCTTTGCACTGATGCTATGGATGTCCTTGCTATTGCTCAATTACTTACTGATAAAGGCCAGGATACACTCACTCTTTGGATTTGTTGCCTGCTAAGCCACAAGGAAATTAGGATTTTAATTACCTGCAAGTTCCATGGGATAGACACCTATAGGCTGTAGTATAGGGAATTGTAAGTCACAGGCAAAGTAGTAACTGTAGCGTAGCTAATGAAAGATATCTGAGCTGGAGCAGTAGCCTGCAGCAGAGTCTAAACCTTCTGCACTCCATGTGATTTCAAGGTATGGTACATCAAAGCTATGGCATCTCCCCTCTCCCTTAGATCTTTTCATGGTATGACAATGACATGTCCAAACCCCTCAATTCAGCGTATCGTCCTTTGACTTTTAAGACTTCCTGCCTGGCAACTCTTTCCACAGGAAAATTATCAGATCTGAATCTCTTAAATAATAGAAATTTAGTTTTAGATTTAACGAGTATTGATGATTTCTCAGAAAGCACATCAACCATCAGTGGACTCTACAAAACTACTAGTGAACATGGAATCAAAATGCTAAAAGACATCTGCAATTTTATCTCACCGAAGTGATCTCTCCGTGATGACATTAGGAACGATCTCTCTGTGATGACATTAGGAACTATAACTTCCCTTGCCATTCTAAAACTGGGATGCTGCTTGTCCTGCCTGACAGAGCAAGGGAATGGCAGAATGCAGGCCTTGATCCCAGCGTTTCCGTATTTTCAACACGCTAAAGGCAGCACAGTCTACAGACCACCTTGCAGAAGGAAGCGGTGCGATTCAGACAACACACCCTGCAGTCTGTTCTCTGATCAGAGTAGCAAGGGCACTGGACTGTTTACGTCTTTCTGCTGAGCTACTCCAACAGCGCTGCAACAACATGCTGCCAGCTACTCTAAGCAGATGTCAAACCAGTGTCCTGTTCAGAGGAAACAGTGTATAGTAGTCAACTGATAAGATCTACCACACCGATTCACATCTAGCAAGTTTTGATTATAACAAGAGACAGCATAGTGCCATAGCTATTACGTTATTCTTAAAGCTCTTATATTTCTGCAGAAGACCTCCCAGACAGCATGTGTACGCAGGTATCATATAGCACATATACCACTGTCGAAGATGCATCAGATTTGCTGCAATGCTGATTGATCTGATGTGTACAGTAGATCTGATGCATTTTGGACATGTCTGCACACAGGCTTTATAGCTGATTTACTCATACACAGTGGCCGTTGTTGAGGATTTTCTGATGTCCAGTGGTATGGCAGGAGACATTGCCTACCCAGACAACAGAAATCCGACAAACAGTCCAAAAGTAAATCTAGATTACACAGTAGCCCTGTAGACAACCTGACTATGCATAGCTAGTTCCAAATGGAAACAGTCAGGTCCAGACAGACTTGTTAGCAGGAGCTCCCTGCAGTGGTGCCAGGCACACAAAGAGGCAATGACAATGATCATGAATCCAGTAAGGGAAGACACAGAGCAATCGGTGTGACTGAGGCTGTATGAAAAGCAGGCAGGGATAAAGGTGGCAATGATGCTGTAGAAATCAGGAAGAAGAAAATAGCAGCAGTATTATTCCTGGGGTGGGTGTGCATGCGGTGCAAGGCGGCAGCATCAGCCCCAGTGGGATAGGATGACAGCTACAGGGGGGCAGGGGCAGCCAAACTGCCACCAAGAGAGAACTGGGGATTCTGGGGTTACAGCAGCAGTGGGTGGCTCTCCAAGAATATGGAAAGTGAAGACACAACAGCGGAAGGAGCAACTGGTCACATACCAGTTAGAAACCATTATTCTAGAAATTTATTTTTAATTATCGTTTTAATTTTTTTTTAACAAGTCAATTTGTCAGAGAGGGAAAAAAAACAAACCATAACACATTTTCTGCACTTCATTCTCACAGTCCCATGTACATAAAAGAGTAGCATAGAGCTACCAGATAGGTCTAAAGAAAGGTATATGGAGTGAGATGTACTTTTTTCTTGGATAATGAATTTTATTTAAATACATCATGATAGATTAATCAGGTATTAATGTACTCTGAAAGATCATTACTCTCTAAGGATCTTATTATTCTTGCTTCTTAAACTGTTTCAAGTATTAAAAAAAAAAATACACTTCACATTTTATAATCATAATTTCACTGCATGTCATACTTATTTAAGTAAACATTATTCTTCATGGCAATCACTAAGCTCCTAAAAGTCTTTATATTTAATATAACATTTGTTCACTTGCAGTGACATTCTTGAATGACAGACAGGTATTACGAAAAGAAGACTACACGTACCAAGCTTCAGGACTTGGAATACTTACTTGTCTACATTAGTGTTTGCTATTCTATCAGTTTACTTACAAATGTTATATTTTACTTATAGAAATAAAGTTCACTCACCTTTTTACATTCATCTGTTCTTTCAGTTTGCTGTACATTTCCAGCACTGCATAGAAACAAGCAGATTAACCCATGGATTTTATTGTGGCTTTAGTTAATAAAAGAGGAAAATATATACTGTAAAGGACAAAGTAAACCATAGAAAAGGATATGCTAAATTTACCTTATTTAATTCCTACTGTAACATAAATGTGATAAAACTAGCAAAAAAAAATTCTAGAATGTAGCTAAAAAAGAAAAAAGAACTGATCTCTTAACAGCTTTTAAATGAAGAAGAATTAAGATTAAACAAAACAGTAGACACTATATATATCAAGCATATTAATTCACTTACTACATACCATAACTTCATCTGCATTACCAGTCTATGACCTGTCTCCATTAAATGGCAACAGTACCACCTACTGTACTCATAACAAGTCAACAACAAGACTTTACAAAGAAAAATTCTCAGATCTGTTTTATGCCAATATCATGAACAGGATAAAACCCTTACAGACCTGTGTGCAATCCTATAATATTACCTTTCTGAAACATCATTTAGAGCCCTTATGTTTTATTAAAAAAAAAGCCTGTAATGACACAGAGCTAAAAGTACAACACTGAAATAGAATCATTAGTATTTTCCCCTAGAATTCAAACAGTAAAAACCACCCTCTTAAGCCACAAATTCATCATTTCGCATATTAAAAATATTACTTCATTTAAAGCTGTATGTGGCTACATTGTTTGCATCATTTATATCTGTCTCACTGTCTTCTCACAAAGTGGCATAATTGCTTTATGTCAAATATTGTAAAAGACATGGAACCTACACGTTGACATCTTTTTAAAACCCGTTAACGTTTTTGTTAAACTGGATGTTACAGGACCACAACTTAAAAAATAAAATTCTTTTCCATTTTGGCTATTGTGACTTACTTTATTTAATTTGCCATCATATTTAGCTATAGGTCACTCACCTGGAAGACACAACTGTAGTTTTTCCACAACTGTTGTAATATTCCGTTGCTGAACTCTACATCGAATGATTTCCTCTGTTTGGGCTATGACCTTAGAGATTTAAAAAAAAAAAAAAAAAAAAAAAAAAGAAAAGAACAATTAAGTTATGCAAATAAATTTAACTTGCTACAAATATTCATAATGCCCATATAGGAAGCACCATTTTCTCACCTCTTTCCCAGCATCCTGAAGCCTTCGGTTGGTATCAGTAACTTGGACCTTAAAAATAATTTCACCTTTGTTAGACAAATATGCATATATTGCCCTGATGTGACTGCTCACCCTTGTAATCAGATCATGCTTCATGAGAAACTTAGAACAAAGAAATGCAAATTCAAATTAACTCTACAGCTTGAACTTGAACTTTTGATCGCAAAGGGCTTTTGTTAACTTCAATTACTTATGACAGTTCTTTCTAACAGATTCTGTGGCAAACTTCTCAAATTTACTTGGGATTTTTGAACTTTCCTTGTTTCTGTAGGTCTGTCAAACAATTCAAATCATTGACCCAATTGACCACTGGTCCCTTTTTGATAACCTCAATGAGCTCTATGGGCCATTCATTGTCTGTAAGAAACGGTGATTGCATTTTATGGTAATTAAACATTCATACTTTGCTGAATGCAAACACTGGGTGGTTGATTAACATCAAACGTGGAAATCTCCAAACCACAGCAACATTTTAATGCTGCAGGTGCAGGCAAAGCTCGACCTCAGATTTTCCCACATAGTAAGTGACTCATTAGGTCATCATAATAAGGAAGCACATTCTAGTTTATTAAAAATCTCATTAATTTCTGAACAAAGATGCTCAATGACCTCATTGACGCTGTATTTGGTCTCTTGTTATCTGAATATCCTTTATATAATGCTCTTCTAATCATAACCTCTGATGAACTATGCTCATTCTGTCTGGTGTGCATATTTTGCTCTCAAAAGTGTAAAGAGAGCTAAAAGGGATGGATCTCATAATTCACTATTCTGCGTTCTGATTTGGGAGTAAATCTTAGTTCTCATTTCTAATGAAACTACTAACTCCGCCTACTCTCCTACTCATTGCAGAGTAAAGAAAATTTATTTTGCATACATAATTGCAGTATTTTTATTTTTCTAATCAAGATTTTAAATTTTCCTAAGGTCTGACATATAAATGAATGATTAGAAAAAGACCTATGTAAGGAATATTTGTTTTACCATTTGTTGTTCTTTACCTTCTGAGAAAACCTTTAAAAAGGGCAAAATAATTTTGGTAACATTTTCTTAAAACATACATTAAAAAAAAAAGTCAGAATTAGACCTAATAAAATATTCAGCTTTGTAAATGTAAATTACTGGATCAGGCAACACAGCTCTAATCACAAATCCTGAATAATCCACTTTTAAAAAATTGTTGCAAACATCACAGTGTATGTGATAATCACTAAATTCTTATTCTTCAGTAAGAGTCAAGTTCCTTCTTTTAAATTCAAAGACAATGATATATGAAACTCTGAAAAACTAGTTCCTTACCTTCAATTTTTCTGCATCAGCCCTAACTTTAAGAAGTTCTGTAATAGCATCCACAAAGCCCTGATGGTGAAAATTGCACATCTTTTCTATCTCCCTGTCATGGTTACGTATGCAGGCATCTAGTTTTTCCATAAACCTCTGATGTGCGTTTGGTTGGTCATCATATACAGACCTGTTAAATACAAATAAGAAAATCAAAGTTTACTTTTTCCCCCAGTTAAAAATAGTATGCAAGGATCTTTATTGAAATCTCTCTCTTAAAAAGAAAATAAAAGCACGCAAACTTGATGTTACGGTGGCATCATTTGTGATCCACTCCATCAAAATCAGCATTAAAAGAAAGAGATGACGCAAAACTGAGAACTGAACCCAGCCCTTATGGCATTAATCCAGGTGCTTAACCTGTTACGTCATGGTTGACCTGAGCCTCACTGGCCTGTTAGTTATGCCCTAATGCTCAAATACGGGTACAAAAGAATCAGTTTCTCCGACCACCTCAAATAGCATGGATCGCCCTTCCATCAAATTCCACTCTTTGCTAAATATAAAGAAGTGCAAACATAGAAATTTGCTTTTCCGGTATTCCTAACATTAGAGTTACCCAACTAAATCAGGGTTGGATGCTTCCAGCCAGAACAAACAGAGCACTGTGCGGCAGCAGCTGGACCCCTGGCGGAAGGCAATCCCCACTGCTCCCTGCCTCCTCCTACCCGCGCTCAACATCTCCTAAAGCAAAACCATGACATGCACATGCCTAAGGCTGCTACCTCAATGGGATCTAACTTTCAGGAATGGCTAAAATCAGGTCTTTTGGTTTATTTTATTAATTGTTTGAATAGTACACTTCTAAACCTCAAGCAGGAAACGTAACTCCAGGAGAAATTACCAGCGCAGCTTGTTGAGCTGCGTCAGAAATGGAAAGCTGCATGGAAAAATGCTCAAGTGTGAGAGAGAGCAAAGGAGACGGGGGCAATTTAAAGTTTTAGACTTTAGCAGAGAAAGCAAGAAAAGAGGTATTACAGAGAACTGTACTGGAAATCAAAGGCATGAAGTCTCCCCAGAAAGGTAAGGCAAAGGCAGTTCCAAAATTTGATTAATAACTTGATATAGCAACAACAGCAAAGACAGGTAATTTTTGAAGCAGCTTTTCAGATAGAATGAGAGCGGCAATACGAGGATAATATAGTCATACATATACAAACATGTTTGTACTGTAAACTACAAGCATTCAAAAAAATCAGATCAAAAAATCTTTAAATTGCTTTTTTTAGCCTCTAATTTCCTTTCATAATTACAAAGTTTTCTCCAGAAATCCATAAGGAGAAGCTGCTTTAAAAAAATAAAAAAATTAAAAAGATCTTAAGATGGGGGGGGGAGGAAGGCTGAAGTTCCAATGGTCTCAATACAAGTACAGTCTTAAGTTCAAGGCCCAGGGAACAGTCAGTCAAAGCCTCCAAAACTCTTGAGTAGAGAGAAAGTACTTCCCTACTCGTCTTCTCAGAGAAGTATGACTTCCCATATTCTTTGAGATCCTCTTTTCTAACCAGACAGCTGGGCTCTGCCAAGATCTGGGGTCATCATCACCCGTTCAACAAACCTACAGCTGAGTGTCTGACAAGAACTTGACCTTTCAAGGAAGAAAAGGGTACAGAAGAGTTCAAAAAGAATTGTAACTAGATTCTTCATCCTTTCTGAGTTCCTTTTCACCTTGGACAATATACTCAGTGAAGCAACAGAAGTTAGAGACATGAGAAAGGTAATAAGCTGTCCTACTTGCCAAAGGAAGAAAGCCAATTCCTATTAGCCTGCTTGCTATAGACATTTTCTCAGGGAAAAATCTATTCAATAAAATATTCCTAGAATATCCCCCTTTTGCTTATGATTGATAGGAAAATAAGGCTATGGTACTGAAAGGCAGGCTCTTTCCTCCAAAGTGCCCCAGGGGAAAATCCAGGGTTGTTGACCCATGAAGTGGTTCACAAAGGGAAAGATAGCCTTCACCCTTTCCACCACCACAGTTTGAAATGACAGCTGGAAGGAGCAAATGTGTGACAGTCAGTCTCTCCTCCTGAGGTTCCTGTCAGATTGCCTGAAAGGGCTCCCTCAAGGCTGCCCAGGACAACTGAAATTTAAAGGGCTGTGGTGGAAGATCATGAGTGACCCACACCTGCCAGTGGGAAACACCTGCACCCAAAACCTGGTGCTGGCTGGAGAGAGAAGCAGCAACCTGGCCTGGGAGGAAAGAAAGGTGCAAGACGCATAGTCAGCATTAAGTGAGCTCTCAATTAGGCAACCTAATGTTCTGCATCTGAAGACATGGGGGGAAGCATGTAGACCGTATCACTGTTACCTGTAAAGAAATGGGGAAGGAATGAGAAAAAGGCTCAACAACTGATGCTGTAGTGCTCAAAAATATGCAGTACGAGCTGGTTACATGAGTGCTGCTCTGTCTCCGTAAGAAAAGGGGCAGAGATGTTGGAACCTACAGGGTGGACAGAGAGGGACATCCACCTGTCTCCAAAATACCATTCCTCAAGAAGAAATAAAAAGATTAGGAGGGCCAGAGGCATCAGATAGTGCCTTCACACATATTGGGCATGCATGAGCTTCCCCTGAATGGGCTGGACTCGCCACCTATACTGCATTGGATGCTAAAGGAAAAACCAGCAAAAAGTTCAATTTATTACTGCTTCCTTGAGCCTTTCATTTAAGGGTGGAAGGAGTCTCCAAGTTTAGGTCTCCTTCCAATGTTCTCAAAGGGAAGTGAGAAAGGAGTATCATTATCACAAAGACAGGAGACTTCCATCTGTCGCTGTGAACTCGTAACTATAAGTTGTGTAACGTAACTGTTAAGTGAAAACAGCAGTAAAACACAGTAGACCAAATATACCTAAAATGAGAACAAGACTGTAAAAAAGATGGTGCAAGAGGAACTCCATACTTGAGTTTGTACCACCAAACTTTCTTTGGTGGTAGCAACGCACTGTCTTTTTGGACTTAGTTATTGCCTGATGATTTTGGGGTATCCAGTAGCTGCAGTTCAGCATGGCTGTCTTGATACCTTTTTATCGATTTCAGATCTGCCAACACTGGCAGACATGCAGTTAAAATACTGAGAGAGGGAAATAATTTGCGATCAGGAGATTCCTCTTTAAAATGTTATCAAACAATTCCAGACAATATAGCCAGAAATTCTGGAAGCACATACGATGTAGCATAGGCAATACAGTATTCACTGTTAAAAGAATCAGTATTTATTATTTTTTCCCAGTATTAAAGCTACTTATACTTCAGTTTAATGATGATAAATAAAGTACTGATTGATAATTCTCAGGGGAATTATCACAATATTTAATTCAAAATTATACAGGGAATAAATGTTTAAAATTGAGGAGGAAGAAATCAATACTGTGTACGTCCCAACGCACTGCCTTAATCTCAAGATCAGCCTACCTTATTAAAATAAGAGTTACTATTTTATGTTCTACATTACACTGTTTTCTGCAGGGATACTAATAAAGTGGTGATCTGTTATCTAGACCAGTATTTTGACAGAGCTCCTTAAGATCCACTAGTGGTATAAATTCCATATTAACTACATATGTAGACAGCTCCATCTTGTGGGAACAGTAACAAATCAACCCTCTTCAGCACACTAGTGAAAAAACTCCTGAGACAGAACTGCTTACCTTTAAAGAAATAAATCATCACAGTATTTAAAAGAAATTCACACTTTGTATCACAACCCTCTGATCTAGGTGTGAAGTAAGATGACAAACAAGTTTACTAACTTTCTTAAGATGCTGTACTCTTAGGACACTATACACATGCTATTTCAGAAGCTTCAGAAGGAAGTCTGACCTAAAGCACTGGCCTTTTTGAAAGTGTAAGTGTACTCAAGAGAGCCATGCCATCTCTGGCCATGGACAGAAGTTAGGCTTTTTCTCAAAACTGCAAACACAAGTGAGGCGATGCACACCTGATTTACATAGTACAGTATGGTTTATTTCTGATACTGAAGCTTATTTTCCATACACACATTTCAAAAACTACCTACACCTATCTAAATAAAGTAATTGCTACCTTTGAATAATTATCTGAAGGTGTATATTTCAACAGATTACGGCACTGCAAGCAATCCTGATAGCAATTCTGCACTTTACAGAGTTAAACTATCAGGCAGACAAATAACAATATTGCAGTATCTTGGAGAGAGACATGGAATCCTGAAAGCATCCTATAGCTTATTCTTTTAAATTACAAGACAGAATTAACAGAATTTACAACACCCACACACAGTTCTGTTGGGAAGAGAGTGAGGAAGTGGTAACCCTTCCAGATGCATTTCTTCAGGAGACAACTACTACATGCAACTATGTCTACCCTTAAAATCTCTCTCTCACTTTAAGTTGCTTCACATGTCAGTGGGAAGTGTCATAAAAACGGGCAAACATGCCTAGGCTATCGAGAAATTTTACATGTGTAATATATAGTTCTTCCAAATTTTGTTTACATTTATACACTTCTGAATAAAGAACCCCAAGGATCCTCCTCAGCTTTATGGGCTCCTGAAGTGGATGCTGGTGGTCTGAAATATAGCACAAATCTGAACTGAGCAAAGCTGAAAGACATGATCAGTTTGTATTACAATTGCTTTCAACCTGTGATCTATACAGCTATAGGAACCTATAGACAAGTAGTGGTTGATTCACACCATGAAACTCTGAAGAGTAAGCTTTTTCTCAGTATGGGTCTTCAAACTGGGGAAAAAAAAAAAAAGAAAATCACTGAAGTTGGAGACAGAAGTTTATACTTGGTTTTAGCACCAAAAAAAAAAGAAAATATACAACACGCCATCTTAATTTTCAACCTGGAATGAGAGAACATAAACTTGAGCGACTAGTTAGACACCAGTACTGAGAATCAGTGACAGGGCAGGTACTATTTTCAGTCCTAATTGATGGGGCAAGAAGGGCACCCATGAAGAGCACAAGCAGAGCTGAAGGATTTTTCTGGTAATGTGTAGCAGGTTATTTGTTTATATTTCCCAGAACTCTGTATATAGACAGAGAGACTTTTTTTCTGACTCATCCCAACAACTGGACAATATGAGTCATATTAATGCCAGTCTATGTAAATACAAGATAGTGCAGAAAGTACTTGAAAGAGGAA